TTTCTAGTGCAGTCGAAGTCTGGGAATCCATTTCTTTAAAATCTACAAAAGCTTTTTGTACAAAATCAGATTAAACATGTAAAAATGTCAACAGTAAAAGCTCAAGGCATCTTGTAGTTTTGAAAAACTTTCTTTTCTTTAGTCAGGTCTTAATCCATGCTGAAGTCAATTAATATTGTCTGCAAACTTTCGAAAATTTTACTTTAATAATTTGTTGCTTACCTAATGTTTTTTTTTTGCTTTTGTTCACACCCTCTGGCAAATTTATTACTAAATTATTTATAATTTAGATATAATCAATTTGTCATGTTATTTAAATTTTAATTTGATTTTTTGCGCTTAATTATTTCAAACTCATTTATTATGTGACAACTTTTGCAAAAAAACAAAAAATTTAAATTAATGCAAATATATTTCAAACGCTTAGAGCTTAGGCGAATTTTGAAAATACCATTCTATATTCTCTAAAAAGCTTTGTGCCTATAAAAAAAGTTATTCTTTTAAAAATACTTTTAATTGTTCTAAGGAGCCATTTTTAAATACCATTTAATTTCCTTTAAAAGCTTTTTTAAAAAGCGTTTGTCATAAAATATTTTTTTACAATAATTTTTCATAAAAATTCCTTCTTAGTAAAAGTTTTTAATAAAAGCTTTTTCAATAGAAGCTTTTTTTAGATAAAAGCTTTTTCAATAGAAGCTTTTAAAATAAAATAAAAATACCTTCTTAGTAAAAGTGTTTTAAAAACTTTTTCAATACAAGCTTCTTTTAATAAAAGCTTTTTCGATAGATGCTTTTTTTAATAAAAGCTTCTATTGAGCTTTTTTAATAAAATCGATTTCAATAAAACACTTTTTTATAAAATGCTTTTTCAATAAAAGTTTCTTTCAAAAACAGTTATTTCCCTGAATATAAACTTTTTTAATAAAAACTTGTTCAATAGAAGTTTTTTAATAAAAGCTTTTTCAACAGAAGCATTTTAATAAAATCTTTTTCAATAGAAGCTTTTTAATGAAAGCTTTTTCAATAGAAGTTTTTTTAATAAAAGCTTTTCAATAAAATACTTTTTTATAAAAAGCTTTTTCAATAAAAGTTTCTTTCATAAACAGCTATTTCCCTGATAATCCTTATCATTAAAAACCTCAAGAAATATGTTTATAACGTAAAAAAGCTTTTTTCATAAAAAGCTTTTTCCATAAAAAGACTTTTAAAAGCTATTTCAAATAAAAAAAACATTTTATATTCCCTCCTTCCCAAACCGCTGCCTCAGCTTGTAGCTCCCTTGAACTTTCTGTAGCTCCCACAAAAGAAAGCTTTAAACAATGAAAACAGATCTATTTTCTATAGAAAATATAAATCTCGTCTAAATGATTTCATGTCCATCAATTGTTTTGCATAATTACCGCAAATTAAACATTTGTAAAATTCTTTTAAAATAAACCTAAAGAAAGAATAACAAACACAACAAACCAAACAATATTCTTAAACTCGCAATGTTTCAAAGACTGTCTGTAAATGATTGAGTTTTAAGCCAACATTTTATATGTAGATAAATCTCTAGCTAGAAAAAAAGTTTATAACAATTTAAATACAAAAAAAATACCATAAACAATAACAACAAAAAAGCTAAGGTAAATAACCTGAAAAAGCACAGATTTTTTTTAATTTGTTTCTATCTTAACAATGCGGGTTGTTTAAATGTAGAAACCAATTTAAATTAAACACAATAGGTGATCTGATTTTTTAACAAATGTATTTTAAAAGTTTTGACGTTTATGCTCTTATTTCATTTTTTTAAATAAATAAATGTTTATAAACATTTTATAAAATAAAAATTTATGTGGCATGCATTTTTTACTTAAGCTTAAAAGTTTAAAACATTTAAACCATTATAATTTTACAATTAACTTTCATTTTTTAAAATGTTCAAAATCAGCCAGAAAATTGTTTAATTTTGTTGTAAATTTAATAATTAGTCAATATGGTTTAAAATATTGGTTTTACGTTGTAACTTATTATAACTTGAAGCATTTTGACCCATTTCTTGAGAGTAATTTTGTTATTGTTGAAAGAAAATGAAATTATTTTTTTTTTTTTTGTTTGGTTAGTTTGTTTATGGTTTAAAAAAGCCCTATAATTATTTTTTTCAAAGAAAGTATTTAACAGGGAAATGTTTTTTAAACCGTATAAAAACAAACCATTAGAGGCTATTAACTAATAGAAATATTAGAGAGGTCGTGAAATTTCACTGTTTCTTGAGATATTTATAATTTTATAATTGCTTTAAAAATTTTGGTGTCAAAGAAATTATGTAGCAAAAATATCGATTAATCGAACTTTCTTTAACACAGTTCTTTAGAAAGATAAAGCAAAATAATCGTATATTATTAAAAAGAAATATTGATAGTAAATCTTCTATAAATTGCAAATTATAGCTTTTTATAAAAATTTCTTGTCTATGAAAAAGTTTTTATAAAAGTACTGTTTTCAAAATGGCTTTTCAAGAAAATTTTTTTGATAAAAAAGTTTTATTCATAAGAAAATACTGTTTTGATAAAAGCTTTTTTAAAGAAAATATTTTTCATAGAAAGCTTTAACACCTTTTTTTTGCAAAAAGCTTACTCATGAAAATACTTTTTTCTAAAAAAATCGACGTAAACGAAACAAAATTGGATTGCTGATAAATTGGAAATCAAATATAGTCTAGTCTATGGTCAAGTCTATAGTCTAGTCTATGGTAAAGTCTATAGACTAGTCTATAAGCTGATCTATAGTCTAGTCTATTTATAATCTAGTCTATAGTCTAGTCTATGGTCAAGTCTATAGTCTAGTCTATAAACTGATATATAGTCTAGACTATAGTCTAGTCTATAGTCTAGTCTATAGTCTAGTCTATAGTCTAGTCTATAGTCTAGTCTATAGTCTAGTCTATAGTCTAGTCTATAGTCTAGTCTATAGTCTAGTCTATAGTCTAGTCTATAGTCTAGTCTATAGTCTAGTCTATAGTCTAGTCTATAGTCTAGTCTATAGTCTAGTCTATAGTCTAGTCTATAGTCTAGTCTATAGTCTAGTCTATAGTCTAGTCTATAGTCTAGTCTATAGTCTAGTCTATAGTCTAGTCTATAGTCTAGTCTATAGTCTAGTCTATAGTCTAGTCTATAGTCTAGTCTATAGTCTAGTCTATAGTCTAGTCTATAGTCTAGTCTATAGTCTAGTCTATAGTCTAGTCTATAGTCTAGTCTATAGTCTAGTCTAGTCTAGTCTATAGTCTAGTCTATAGTCTAGTCTATAGTCTAGTCTATAGTCTAGTCTATAGTCTAGTCTATAGTCTAGTCTATAGTCTAGTCTATAGTCTAGTCTATAGTCTAGTCTATAGTCTAGTCTATAGTCTAGTCTATAGTCTAGTCTATAGTCTAGTCTATAGTCTAGTCTATAGTCTAGTCTATAGTCTAGTCTAGTCTAGTCTATAGTCTAGTCTATAGTCTAGTCTATAGTCTAGTCTATAGTCTAGTCTATAGTCTAGTCTATAGTCTAGTCTATAGTCTAGTCTATAGTCTAGTCTATAGTCTAGTCTATAGTCTAGTCTATAGTCTAGTCTATAGTCTAGTCTATAGTCTATAGTCTAGTCTATAGTCTAGTCTATAGTCTAGTCTATAGTCTAGTCTATAGTCTAGTCTATAGTCTAGTCTATAGTCTAGTCTATAGTCTAGTCTATAGTCTAGTCTATAGTCTAGTCTATAGTCTAGTCTATAGTCTAGTCTATAGTCTAGTCTATAGTCTAGTCTATAGTCTAGTCTATAGTCTAGTCTATAGTCTAGTCTATAGTCTAGTCTATAGTCTAGTCTATAGTCTAGTCTATAGTCTAGTCTATAGTCTAGTCTATAGTCTAGTCTATAGTCTAGTCTATAGTAGTCTATAGTCTAGTCTATAGTCTAGTCTATAGTCTAGTCTATAGTATAGTCATAGTCCTAGTCTATAGTCTAGTCTATAGTCTAGTCTATAGTCAAGTCTATAGTCTAGTCTATAGTCTAGTCTATAGTCTAGTCTAAGTCTAGTCTATAGTCTAGTCTATAGTCTAGTCTATAGTCTAGTCTATAGTCTAGTCTATAGTCTAGTCTATAGTCTAGTCTATAGTCTAGTCTATAGTCTAGTCTATAGTCTAGTCTATAGTCTAGTCTATAGTCTAGTCTATAGTCTAGTCTATAGTCTAGTCTATAGTCTAGTCTATAGTCTAGCTATAGTCTAGTCTATAGTCTAGTCTATAGTCTAGTCTATAGTCTAGTCTATAGTCTAGTCTATAGTCTAGTCTATAGTCTAGTCTATAGTCTAGTAGAGTCTAGTCATAGTCTAGTCTATAGTCTAGTCTATAGTCTAGTCTATAGTCTAGTCTATAGTCTAGTCTATAGTCTAGTCTATAGTCTAGTCTATAGTCTAGTCTATAGTCTAGTCTATAGTCTAGTCTATAGTCTAGTCTATAGTCTAGTATATCTAGTCTATAGTCTAGTCTATAGTCTAGTCTCTAGTCTAGTCTATAGTCTAGTCTATAGTCTAGTCTGTAGTCTAGTCTATAGTCTAGTCTATAGTCTAGTCTATAGTCTAGTCTATAGTCTAGTCTATAGTCTAGTCTAGTCTAGTCTATAGTCTAGTCTATAGTCTAGTCTATAGTCTAGTCTATAGTCTAGTCTACAGTCTATTCTATAGTCTAGTCTACAGTCTAGTCTATATTCTTGTCTACAGTCTATTCTATAGTCTAGTCTACAGTCTAGTCTATAGTCTAGTCTATAGTCTAGTCTATAGTCTAGTCTATAGTCTAGTCTATAGTCTAGTCTATAGTCTAGTCTATAGTCTAGTCTATAGTCTAGTCTATAGTCTAGTCCATAGTCTAGTCTATAGTCTAGTCTATAGTCTAGTCTATATTAGTATAGTATTTAGTTTAGTCTGTTAGTCTAATATATATTTTATGGAATATGATTTTTTCAAATGTTTTATTCTTTTCATTTCAGATTAATTTTTTTGTTTATCATCGAAAAATCGGTAAGTTTTTAAGTTATATAATTTTAAAAATAGACAAGTAGGTGTAAATAGTCAACGAATAGAAATCTTTATTACAACATACATACCCAACGGTGGTGAAATAATTATTTGAATTCCTTATAGTCAAACCAAGTTTTAGGGCAAGATTGCAGGTGCCATTAGATTTAAGAAGTATTTGGTTTTCTATCTTTATAACCACTTCTCGGATTAAGTCACATTTAAAAAATAACTTTTAAATTACTATTTATGCTCTAACCTAAAAGTGTTATAATTTTTCAATTAAATATTTAATTTAGTACAAAAACATCAAAATACCTCGAGGGTGTTTAACAAATAACCAAGAAAACAAACAAAAAAAAAATCAACAAAAACACGACTATTAAATTGATTCTCATGATTCTAACGGCCACACAGTTTTAAAATAACCCAATTCCTAACAAAAAATTAAATAAGATCTACAAAAAAATTTGTGGTCAAATTTTAGATGTTAAGGCTTTTTTCTATTTTTTAAAAAAAGTGATTAAATGTGATTTTTTTTTTGGTACCCAACTCTACAACATAAAAGTAAAGAAACTTTAACCCCTACCGATCGTTACCTTAAAGATGCTCTATCATTAATTTTGCATAAATGTTAGAAAAGACGAAAAATTGCTAAGAAAAAAAAAATAATTTTCTTTAAAAACATTTTAACAACAATTGCCTTAATGTGCGGGTGTTATGTTCTTTTTTTATTATATTGTACTTTTTTTTTCTCCGGTATATTTTACTATTCTAGGCTCCTTTCATAACTACGCTGTGGGATATTTCTTTTAGTTTTTTTTTTTCTTAAATTTTTTGGTCTGCAGTCAGTCATTGGTGTTTAAGTTCCTAGTGTATACTGTATACTAGTGGTAGTTTGGTAATGGAAAATATTTGTGTTTTTGTCGGCTTCATTTGTTTAGTGACAAAAACAGGTCAAATGTCATACTTTCAGTCTAAGAATTATAGTTGGGCTGCTTTCATTCAGTTTTTTTGTTTCCTCTCATAATTTAAGTGAAAAAAGTCTAACCAATTTTACAATTAACTTTAATGTTATAAATAAGTTTTTGTAAAATGTTTTTTTTTTTTTTTTTTAAGTTCAAAAGGGCAAATAATAGATTGTTAACAGATTTATTTGTTTAGAGGAAAATATTTTGATTTAACATTAATTAGCTGAAATTAATATGAATGTTGTTTTTTAACAATGTAATCTTGAAAAGAGTTAAGAAAATCTTATGAATCTGAGACAATTTATATATATATTCGTTTGTTTAAGTGTGAACACGTAATATTCCCCAATACTTTTTTTGCAACAAAAAATCTCTCATCTTTGAAAAAAAATTTTGTTTTTTAGTTTACACAACAAGTTTTTTGTTGAGACACATTGAATTTAGTTTCAGTTGATGATTCATGATTTCGTTGTCATTTGTTAGAGTTTTCCCATTATAAAACCTCATCAATTAGTTGTTTTTTGGTATAAAAATGAAAATTAAAAGCTCTCATTTAAAAAACTATAAAAATAAACTATAGATTTTAGAAACATTCAATTGGCATAGACTAAGAAAATCTGCATAGTAGCTGTAGTTCTGTTTAGCCCATTTCACAGTTTGTCTGAGTTATATACTGAAACCAAATTCCCGATTTTAGCCACGGGATCAAAGGTTAAATTTAAAAAATATGTATATTAGAAATAGTACATAATAACAAGAATTCATTGGACGATCTGTTGACGAAATGTGTGACCTTAATTTGACCTTTAATCTCAAAGTTTTTAAATCAAAATTAAAACATTATTTTTAGTCCTAACATTTTAACATTTAACTTTGTAATATTCCCAAAAATTTCCTTAACAGAAACTCTTTACTAAAAGTATCTTTTGGCATCAATCACAAACAACTACATACATCTTTATAGTTGGTGCAGTCATGACATGACAGTATTGTCAATTTTTAATCAACTTCATTCATGCATTCTAATAAGATTATAAGCAATAACAAAACGTTTTGCGTGGGAGTTTAAAAAAACTACATAACGTCACATTAAACTTTAATAAAAAAATTTACTTTTTTATAAAAGAAAATTTATAATTGGAAGGTAAATAATACTCCAAGCAATGGATAGATTATATTGTCACATAGTCTCATAAACAATAAGGTGGCAAATATTTTCCGAATTTATTATGGTAAAGCAAAATGTTATAACTAACGTTTTTGAAACTTGTCTTATTGTAACACATATTTATATAAATGTTTTATAACTTTTTAAAGGAAAGCTATAATGTGTATTATATTTCCTTAACAATTACTATATGACAATTTCCAAAGTTTATCCTTTCCCATAATCAGTGTGTGAACGAACCCCTTATGATTGTCAAAGTTTTACACATAACTTATTTAACAAATACTCATAATAGTTTTTAACAGGTATGGGCAATGTAAATTTTAACTAGACTTGACTATAGACTAGACTATAGACCATACTATAGACTAGACTACAGACTAGACTATAGACTAGACTATAGACTAGACTAGACTAGACTATAGACTAGACTATAGACTAGACTATAGACTAGACTATAGACTAGACTATAGACTAGACTAGACTATAGACTAGACTATAGACTAGACTATAGACTAGACTATAGACTAGACTATAGACTAGACTATAGACTAGACTATAGACTAGACTATAGACTAGACTATAGACTAGACTATAGACTAGACTATAGACTAGACTATAGACTAGACTATAGACTAGACTATAGACTAGACTATAGACTAGACTATAGACTAGACTATAGACTAGACTATAGACTAGACTATAGACTAGACTATAGACTAGACTATAGACTAGACTATAGACTAGACTATAGACTAGACTATAGACTAGACTATAGACTAGACTATAGACTAGACTATAGACTAGACTATAGACTAGACTATAGACTAGACTATAGACTAGACCAGCGGTTCCCACCGTTTTTTACTTCGCGGTCCCCTTGAGGAATTTATTTAATTTCACGGACCCCCATACATATTTTGATATCTTATTGTTATAAATAATTGTTCATCCGAAAATTGTCTTAGTCCTGGTCCATAAACCCTATAAAATATTCCCGTACATTGAGAATATTTAGTATTTCGGAAATGTTTTCAATTGCATGGTTTTAAATATAGAATGACTTCTAACATGATGTTTAATTTTATGATCGTGAAAGCTTTCATGTTCATTTCTCGTCAAGGTAGCGAAAAGGGTTATTTATCAAGTATTGTCGACATGTGCTTTAAGAGTCATGTTTCTAAATTCTTTTGCAATTGCATAGGAGTGAGCTGAGTATGTAAGCTAAGTTTTCGGGAAAAATGTGAAAGTTAGACTTCTTCGATTTTATTGCGGAATGCGTTACCCACATAAAATATGACCTGAACTCTTTGCGAATGTACTGTGAATTTGGATCTTAAATTTGAATTTTAAAATACCTACGAATTATTTTACTGCGTGGTTTTGACTATTTACGCAAAACGCTATGAATTTTCTGATGTTGATTTAATAATATTGGACAACAAAATGAAATTAAAATCTGAGTATCACGTCGGAATGGAATATTTATATTTAAAATTAACTAGATTAACACTTTTGCTTACAATTTAAAAAAATATTATGAAATGTGACCTAACTTCATATTCCGGGATACCAGTATCAGTATTTAATTCTAAGGCAAATCATTATCCGTCTGATATAAAGACATTTATTTCGATACATATACATTTATAAAAATTACAAATTACGTAATACTTTACTTTATAAAAGTGAAACAATAAATTTGTAGGGCCTAGCTTCATCCTGATAAACGACCGAAACAATAAAATTCAAAAAGTCACCAACAAATCTGGGATTATTGAATAAAAATTGTGTATTTTAGTATTTATGAAAAATTTGGAGATATTTTTAATATTTTCTAACATATAGAGAATATTTTTTATTCATGATTTTTTTCGTTCGTCTTCGCGGACCCCCTAGGATTTTGCTACGGACCACTAGGGGTCCGCGGACCCCCTTTTGGGAACCGTTGGACTAGACTATAGACTAGACTATAGACTAGACTATAGACTAGACTATAGACTAGACTATAGACTAGACTATAGACTAGACTATAGACTAGACTATAGACTAGACTATAGACTAAACTATAGACTATAGACTAGACTATAGACTAGACTATAGACTAGACTATAGACTAGACTATAGACTAGACTATAGACTAGACTATAGACTAGACTATAGACTAGACTATAGACCAGACTATAGACTAGACTATAGACTAGACTATAGACTAGACTATAGACTAGACGATAGACTAGACTATAGACTAGACTATAGACTAGACTGTAGACTAGACTATAGACTAGACTATAGACTAGACTATAGACTAGCCTATAGACTAGACTATAGACTAGACTATGGACTAGACTATAGACTAGACTATAGACTAGACTATGGACTAGACTATAGACTAGACTATAGACTAGACTATAGACTAGACTATAGACTAGACTATAGACTAGACTATAGACTAGACAATGGAATAGACTATGGACTAGACTATAGACTAGACTATAGACTAGACTACACTATATTATAGACTAAAATATTGCCTAATCTATGGATTACTTAAAAAATTTTTAGAAGTAAGAAAATGTACCGAAAAAGCCTTGGTAAAGTATAAAATTTTCCATCACTGATTTAGGCAAGAGAGAAAAAACTCAGTATTACTAATTTATAATAAAAAAAAAACTTTTTCCTTACACCTTCCATTATTAACTAAATAAACTTACAGACCAAAAGAAGAAAATTATAGTATGTACATTAAATTGTTGTAAGTTGTATGTGGCATATTTGATTTTAGTTATACGCTTTTTAAGCGATAATAGTAATAATCGTAAAAATGATCGTAATTCATGATTTTATGCATAAAAATGCAGACTATTTTTGTCGTTCGTTTGCAGTTCAATTCAACTAAACCAATATGTAAAAAAAATATGTACAATACAATTTGTTGTTTTTATATCTACTTTAAAATACATAGTATGAATAGTTGTGTATCGGTTTGTCTGTCTGTCTATCTATCTATATATGTATATATAAGTAAGACGACAAAGGTGTTATTTTACGACTTCATTCATTATATTTTATTACCTCCAATGGTCATGTGGTATGTGTTTATTTGTTGTTGCCTGATTTTATGTGTGTAAATAGTTGATGGTGTGATATGATCTTTGGTAATATTTTTTTCTTTTTCTTCTACTGTGTCCAGGGAGTCTTCTTCTTGGTCATTCTATAAGAATTTTGTTTCTTTTCAATTAAAAGAAGTTTAGTAGCAACAAATACAAGATATATGTATTTATAGTATTTTACACCAAAAAAAAAAAGAAGAGGTTTGTCTCTTAATAAGTAACTGCCTGCTAGTCTGCCAATAATTTGGTATTTTCATTAATTTTTTTCTTTTTAACTTTTTAGGTGTAAGTTATTAAAGCGATAAAATTCATATAAAATTTTAATGTTCATAATTTGAAAAATGGAAAATTGAAGAGTTTTTCTTTATGGAAATTTTAGTGATCGTTAGTACGGAGCGAGAAACATTCTATAAAGAATATTCATCAACATTTTTCTTTAACAGAAATCTGATGTAAAAATTGAAATTTAGAAATTTTTTAGTTTATATCAAACTTAATTAGCTGCCAGTGGCACATGCGGAATACCAACAAAATACTTCCCCTTTAATTCTAGAATGACACCAAAAGCTTTTTGTATAAACAGGCATTAAGGATTTATGTAGGCTTATAAAAAAAGCACTACATACTAATTTAAAATTAAAACATGTTTTAAATTTAAAATCAACGAAATAGTTAAAATTTAAAAAGCCACTAAAACACAGACTTACGACATCAGCACATAAAATTTCCATTTTTTTTACAACATTTTTACAAGAGACAATTTTGTGTCGCAGTAAATTTGCGTTTAAACATAAATCCAGGTTTAACTAACAAGCCGCCTTAATTTGCTGCAACAAAAACGAGAAAAAAAAGTGCAACACAAATGCGTGCTTAACAACATTGAGTCCCACCAGCAAACAAAAACACAAGAGCAATAAAGCAATAGAAGAACAATGTAACAATTTCTACGATTTTTTTATAGTTTTTTTTTTTTTTTTTGTTATTCAAGCGAATGGGATGAATATTTATGCAACCATAAGATACGTAAAGCATTGTTCGTTTATTGTGGCAACAAACTGCAAAACAGCCACTAAAGAATTTTCAATGTAAGCAACAACAGCACCAGTAACCTCAACATTGTAAAGAAAATAAACTGACCAACTGAATGGTGGTTGTTGTTTGCTATTAAAATGCTGTGGCTGTTGCCACTCAGCTAGAGGAAGAAGAACCCCGTCACAGGAACATGCTGCGTTAGACTGATTTAGTATGAGCTATAGATGATTTTATGGTTTTAAGCATAAAGATTGAAGTTTAAAGATATTCACACCTTGTTAAAAAGTTATTAAAGTCATAAAGCATACAAACGTATAACTAAAGCTACAATATAGAAAAGAAACGTAACAAAAACCGAATATAAATCGTATCAAAATAATGAAATTCTCTTAAAAAAAAATTCATAACATTAACAGTAACATTATTTCATTGTAAAACTCATGCTTGCAACTTGAATGTTGCATAAACCTACAAAAAAAAAAAATCAATGAAGCTTTCATCAAATCTTAAACATTTTCGTCTTTTAGCTTTAAAGCTATACTTTTATTTTCCTGTTTATTTTTTTGGTAAATATTAAAGTGTTAATGTGGGTGTTGTTTGTGTTTGATTTTTTGTTTCTACCTCTTCAAAGATATTTATTTTCGTATTTACCAAAGGCTTTATTTAATTTGATATAGTATGTATGAAAAGAACTATATAGTATATTTTATGGCTTCATTAGTGCAACGCCTTCATCTTTACATCGTCAACTTCAACATCATATCGTACAACAGCAACGTCATCACTTGCTGCAGCAAACCAACAGCCATACAAATCAACAACCATCATTAATAGCAATAGCACAACATCAACTTTAAACTTTTATTCTTTTGTTATACATTCATTCTTGGTTCTGTTGAGTTTGTGTGTGTGTTGTATTCCTTCAGAACTTTAGAATAAAAATCATGAATTCGCCACGGTGTCTAGATGTAGCAGGACATCAAGTAATATTGCCGCCGTCGCTGCTAACGTCACTTCTGCCACCTTTGCCGCCTTCAAACTTTTCATCAACTTTTTGAAGAAGACCATCAACCATCATAGAACAAAAACTGTATCGCCTTAACCTTAGTGCCAAAGTTTTTTTTTATTATTAAGACTCACGTTCATCGCATTAAGTAAATTGTTAGTTACGTGGTATATGTCTCTCTCGAAAAAAAAACACCATACTCTGACAAAAAGTCAGGCATATCGTCACAGTCACAGTGTTGCCACTTAAAGTGTAATTACACATTTTTGTTGTAATTTTTATAACGTTCATACGTACTTACCTTAGTATTTGCTAGTCTCTATGGCAAATAATGTTTTAGGGAGGGGAAATACATTGCTCAAGAACACAATGTCACTTACTAGAGATAAGGAATTGACTTTAAAGGGAATCACACTAGTGTTTTTATTTCCAAAATTATGAGGGCAAAGTTCCCGGGGAATTCTTTAAATTAAATTTCTATAAAGTTATACATTTTTTAAATGTTTAATGTATAGAATGTTTTCATAAATTTTCTAATAATTATTTTTTAGAAAATTTTTTAAAATTTTCTTTTATAGAAAATTTTTTTAAAATTTTCTTTTATAGAAAATTTTATCAAAATTTTCTTTTATAGAAAATTTTATAAAAATTTTCTTTTATAGAATATGCTCTTATAGAAATTTTTATTTTTACTTAAATTTTCTTTTATAGAAAATTTTATAAATTTTTTTTCTATAGAAAATTTTATAAAAATTTTCTTTTATAGAAAATTTTATAAAAATTTTCATTTATAGAATTTTTTTTTAATTTTCTTTTATAGAAAATTTTATAAAAATTTTCTTTTATAGAAAATTTTATAAAAATTATCTTTTATAGAAAATTTTACATAAATTTTCTTTTATAAAAAATTTTACCAAAATTTGCTTTTATAGAAAATTTTATATAAATTTTCCTCTTTTATAGAAAATTTTACAAAAATGTTCTTTTATAGAAAATTTTACCTAAATTTTCTTTTATAGAAAATTTTATATAAATTTTCTTTTATAGAAAATTTTACATAAATTTTCTTCTTTAACATAAATTTTCTTTTATAGAAAATTTAACATAAATTTTCTTTTATAGAAAATTTTACATAAATTTTCTTTTTTTACCTAAATTTTCTTTTATTGAAAATTATACATAAATTTTCTTTTATAGAAAAAAAATTTTCTTTTACAGAAAATTTTATAAAAATTCTATTTTATAGAAAATTTTATAATTTTTTTTTTTTTTTTATAGAAAATTTTATAAAAATTTTCTTATTGTATAAAAAATTTTAAAAATGTTTCTTTATAAACAAGTTTTTCGATCATTTTCTCTTCATAGAAAATTTTAAACAAATGTTTCTTTTTTTTAAAAAAAGTTTAATTAATTGTCTTTTTATAAAAGATGTTCCATAAATTTTCTCTTTATTGATATTTTTCATTAAATATCTTTTTATAAAAATTTCTCAAATATAAAACTAATAAATAATTATATTTTCTTAAAAAACTAAACTTTATTTTACATTAATTCAATCAACATTTATTCCCGCTAAGTCATCACTCATTATAGTTAAATTTTTGGTCATCATAGCTAATTCTTTATTCATATCTAAAAGATTTTTAGACATTTGTTTAAAATCTTGCGAAAATTCTCCACTAAAATCCCTTTTAAACATACTGGGCATATCGTTGACAAAATCCTTATTATTCACCGAACGTGGTGGTAACTTTTTTAAAACGTTCTCAGCATGAAAATCATTTTCATGATGATATAAATATTTACTTAAAACCTGATTAAATTTTGAGTTATAAAAATAATTAAGTAGAAAATCTAAGGTTGAATTGTTAAAATTATTTTCATCTAAATAACAGCCGATATGGAATTTAGTATCATTTACATCTACACACTGGGCAGCAGCTAAAAAAAGTTATTTAAAAATTTTAATATTTATTTAAATTTGAATTAAATAATATATTTTCTTTTTACCTTTATTGCTGTGAATTGGTACAATTCGTAATTCCACCATTAAGCTATGACTCAAGAAAACAATAACAAATAAGTTAATATTTTTTATTTTAAGAAACATTGTGGTAATGTCAATAATAATTGTAAGACTAATTATTATTTGCATTATTAATAAGCTATTTAAAACGAAAAATTATTTAAAAAAAAAAGAATTACGGTATTCCTTTAGGTTTCTTTTGTTTTTAGAATTTTAAATATTTACACGTAAAAATTTAAACAAAAACAAGCATTTTATGTTACACAATTTGAAAAAAAGAAATAATTTTGACGTAATAAAATTACCTTAGTTCTTGTAATTATTCAACTTTTTAAATAATATAAGTAGATTTTTTAAACCCAAAAATTTGCTAGTTTAGAGTTCAAAGCAGCTAAGTCCATTTTTTTTGAGTCAAAATGAACATTATAAAATAAAATTATGTCAAATTTGTATTAAAAATTAATTAGTTAATTTGCTTTTAACCAAAAGAAATAAAATAATAGTACATACATAATAATAAAAAGAAATGAAGCTAAATGTACTAAGTCCAAAAAAAAAAAAAAATATTTCTAAATTTTAGCTTTTTTCAATTAATATTTCATCCTCTAAACTCCCTTAAATAAAACAATAAAGCTAGTAGATTTTTAAACTGGTTTGAATATGGACTTAGTACTTCTGCTCTCTAAGCGTGAAATACTGTAAATGTCAACTTTTCTATAAAACTATTTATAACCTACAATACTTTAGTGGGGAGGGTATATTGGGTTTGTGCTGATGTTTGTAACGCACAATAATATTCGTTCTTTACCCACCTTAAGGTATATAAATCGGCTTAAAATCATTTTCTGAGTCGATTTAGCTATGTCCGTCCGTCTGTCTGTCGGTATGTCTGTCTGTCCGTATGTCTGTCTGTCTGTCTGTCTGTCTGTCTGTCTGTCTGTCTGTCTGTCTGTCTGTCCGTCCATGTAAACCTTGTTATTAAACTACATGTCGCAATTTTAAACATAATTCAATGAAATTTGGCACATGATCATCTATTGTACCAGAGACGTAGCCTATTGAAAATGGTTAACATCGATTAATTATTTCACCTAGCCCCCATACAACTGAACCCCCTCGAGTAGGGCTTTTAAGTACATAATTATATGTAATATACTCGTATTTCGACAAAAAGCAAAATCAAGTTCTATACTAGCCTGGATGACCCTGATAAATTTTATAATGATAGGGCCTCATTTAACTTTAGCCCTTGGTATAGGGGCCCCCTTCAAAATATGACTTAAATGTTCACAATTTTTTTCAACAATAAATGACTTAATGTACATCTGATTCAAGGTACAATTCAACTTAAATGCTTTATTATAAAAACTAAATCACATTTTATTTTTATAACTAATGTAGAGTATTATATGATCGGCCTCGCCCGAACTATAATTTCTTACTTGTTTTTTCTATTCAATTAAAATTTTGTCTCAAATTTATCTTATCAGATTTTTGCAACAAATTAATAAGAAATATGTTGTCAACTAAAATTTTGACACAACATAAGAATAGATAAGGATCTAAAAGAAATATTTATGAAATATATGTATATTAGGGTGGTACACATTAAAACGAAAGCAATCAAACTGTAAAATCTTCTTTGCTTTAAAAAGTTTTTACGAAATTTAAAGAATCGCGGCTACATTTGTCTTTGGTACTTTTTTTCAAAAGGTACTTTTTGTCCTTTAGTATTATAGGCGTACATTATTGTATGTCACACAAGGTAATAGTACCCATTGATTAGATCATCTCTCCGAATAAGTAAATTTCGGCCAATCTTTTGCCAATTCATCCTAAAGCTTTCCCCAACAGTCAATAGAAAAGTATTAAAAAAAGTAAATTAAGGGAAAATTGTGGGTACTTCCAATAGGTTAGTTGCTAGTGCTATAGTCGGTCAGTGCGGAAGTCGTTAGTTCGATGCCCACCAGAAATTCTGGTATTCTGATGTAACATATATCCTTCTGGCCTCCGGTAGTTTAGTGGTTAGTGTTCTAGTCTATTAGACCGTAGGTGGTGGGTTCGATTCCCACCTGAGGCACTGGTTAAGGAGCGCACAACAGGTCCGATAGAGGCCTAGATGTATTTCTTGGGATTTGATGTATATATATCCTCCTTTCAAACTAACTTACTAACTATCCTTCTTTCAAACTAAGGGAAAACATCAAAAGTCCCTACTAAAGGGGACATCCACACATAATTTTGTCTTCATATAATAAGGGGCCATCCTAATGTACATACATTAATATGAATGTATGTACGTATATTTATATATTTGCAATTTTTTGCGGTATTTTATTTTTTATTACACCAGAAGTGAATTAATTTAATGGCAGACATTTAAATGAATGTAAATTTTGACTGAAAAAATTTTTATAACAAAACATTTGTATAGACTTTTTATACCCTTTATTATAGCGAATATGTTCATTTTGGACCTCTAGCGCAGTCGAAGTGATATCCATATTTCCATGTGTTTGTCGACTTTAACGTTTCGAAGTCTTGAGTTTTACTTACCCAAATCATGGATACATTAGTCTATATATGTCTCTGATTGGATTAAAACCCAAACATTATTTTTATTCGGTCAAAATTTGTACTGATTCCTCTTTATAAGTTAATTTATTTAACGACCTGCCTAAAGCCCTGCTCACAATTGCCCCAAAAAAAACGCCTCAGACATGTTGTTTGATAAATCTATGCCAAATACAAAACATTTGGCATGGGAAATACGTGTTAAATTGTCGATTTGTTTTGAAAAAACAAAGTGTATAAATTAGTTCAAAAACAATTACTCACGGCCAGAGAATAAAGAGAATTATTTCATTAACTAAATTGAAAATAAAATTTTGTTTGTTGTTCAACACATTGATAAGATAATAAAAATTTGTCGAGGGAAAAGTATTTAAGTATAAACTATTTATGAAACTTTAATTAATGTTAGAATTTTTATGAACAAATCTTCTTGGGACTGTTGCCAGCCATGCAAGTTTTATTTTTCTAAATCATTACATGCTTTTAAACTGCTGTTCTCTTTAAAAATAAAAACAAATTTACTACGCTATTTACATATACATACATATGTTTATACTCAAGAGTATTTAAAAAAATTCAACCAAATAGTAGGTAGGCTCTAGAAAAAAATATATAGTTGTTTGATCTCAAAGATTTAATAGTTCAATTAGCAGGAATTCATCATGTTCACCTTAGACCACATCCCACCTTTAGAAAAAGAACAATATTTTTAGAAATTTATACAAAAAGTAAATATTACTAGATATTTTAAAATCAAATGACATACATTGTAAATTTATAAATAATTTATATGCATTTTATTTTCGTTTATTTATTTATTTATTTATTTAATTATTTGCATTGAGTCGAGAAGTCTTTGCTTAACAGTTTTTTCTTAGTTAGTATGGTCTAGAACTCGCTATAGAGCAAGTCGCAATTGATCGTGTCTAAATAATAGTAGTAAACAAGTATAATTAATTAAGAAAAAGCTATGTTTATCAAAAACTTTAAACTATTTGCCATTTGTGTATTAGGCTTAAATATGTATGCGCAAGCACGTAGCGTATCTGTCTCTCAGGTAGGGGATGTTAATATTGCTAGATCGGGGGGTAAGTAGATATTATAAAATATTTATTAACCGTGTTCCCAAGCTATTCCATTATATAGACAACTGGACATGTGATAGAATCGAATGTCCCATGAGTGCTTATCGTTGTTTCGTTTCAAAATCAAATGAAGACGATCCTTCTGTTTTAACACGTGTCAATGCTTGCTTTACCAAGGACAATCGTTTAATTGCTCACGAAGCATTTTACTCTCACGCTGATCCCAAATCCCGTATACGTGTACAAGTTACTTCTACACGTAATGGCAATATAGTATCCTCTACAAATGGCTTAGAAAATTACGATGAAGAAAAAGTGAATGCTCATATTCAGGGTGAAATGAATAAGATGCAAGCCAACGTAAATGCCCAAATGGAAAATTTACATGCAAATCTTCATAGTATGAATGAAAACATTAATGCAAATATTCAAAATCAAATGCAAGATTTTCATCGTTATCTAAGTAAATTACAATTTAATTTAGCTAACTTGTTCATTTAATTAAATGTCATTATTTTCAGATTAATTGATTTGGCAAAATGATGAAAATTTCTAACAAGCGAATGAATGATTTGTTGTGTATTTTTGGTTCCAAATTTTTGGTTTTTTATTATTGAGAATCTATTACAAAATCGTATGCAAATAAAATTTATTGTTTAAAGCATTTTAATTTGTTCAGTGAACTTATAAAAGGGTCTTATTCATAAACTTTTATCAAAGGTTTATTATAGTAACAAATTTTGTATGAAAATTTGATTAATGTTTAAAAATGTTTATGAATAAGACAGATAGTGTGAATCGTTTAGTTTTAGGTTTTTTTAGTGATTTTTATTTCTAGTCTATAGTCTAGTATATAGTCTAGTCTATAGTCTAGTCTATAGTCTAGTCTATAGTCTAGTCTATAGTCTAGTCTATAGTCTAGTCTATAGTCTAGTCTATAGTCTAGTCTATAGTCTAGTCTATAGTCTAGTCTATAGTCTATAGTCTAGTCTATAGTCTAGTCTATAGTCTAGTCTATAGTCTAGTCTATAGTCTAGTCTATAGTCTAGTCTATAGTCTAGTCTATAGTCTAGTCTATAGTCTAGTCTATAGTCTAGTCTATAGTCTAGTCTATAGTCTAGTCTATAGTCTAGTCTATAGTCTAGTCTATAGTCTAGTCTATAGTCTAGTCTATAGTCTAGTCTATAGAATAGTCTTTAGTCTAGTCTAGTCTATAGTCTAGTCTATAGTTTAGTATATAGTCCAGTCTATAGTCCAGTCTATAGTTTAGTCTGTAGTCTAGTCTGTAGTCTAGTCTATATTCTACTCAATAGTATAGTCTAGTCTATAGTCTAGTCAATAGTCTAGTCTATATAGTCTGGTCTATAGTCTGGTCTATAGTCTAGTCTATTGTTCAGTCTATAGTCTAGTCTACTCTATAGTCTAGTCTGCAGTCTATTCTATAGTCTAGTCTGTGGTCTATTCTATAGTCTAGTCTTTAGTCTAGTCCATAGTATAGTCTATAGTCTAGTCTATTGTCAGTTATGCTAGTCTTGCAGTAAATATACCATATTTGTGTTTATTAACTGACTTATACATATTTAAGTAATAAAATAGAGTGAAATTAAGTTCTGAAGAGAGGAGTTTTGATCTTGATCTTTGTAGCTCACGATTATTCATGAATTTTTTTTATCAAAACTACATTTATTTAAATTTTATACTCATATATTATTAATATTTTCCATTACAAAGACACCGGTAATTAAATGAAATTATTTAAAAATATTATATTTAAGAGTAATAATAACAGAGAGCAATTTGATGATCATGATAAAATTTTGAACTAAATATAAATTGATAAATTTATTGGTGCAAGTTTAAAATGAATAATTAAAACACTTTTGAGTATTTAAACCCTTCAACCAATGATCAATATTAACAGTTTTGCTCTGTTATTTGTTGAAACACCTTATTAGCGGAAATGTCAAATATTTTTAATATCTATTTGTGTTCATTCATAATTTATGTAACGGTACAATATGTTACAGCAAAACCTGCTGACGAAGTTTCCTATTTAGAAACAAATATTAATATTGAACATGACAATGGTAAGTACGTAATAATGAAAAGGATTGTAATTATATTAAAAATTCATATGTAATTATTTTTAGATCAATGGATTTGTGGTAATGTCGAATGCCCTGAGAAGACGTACGGCTGTAAAATAGCACTACATAGTGATAAGGAAAATATGAAAGTTCTCCATCAAAGTTTTAGCTGTTTCGATGAAGAAAAAGTGCCATTATTAGGTGCTGAAGATATAATTGAAATGTCTAAACAAAAAGTAATCAAAATAGAACTGGAGTCCTATGAGGGGGCAGTATCACTTTATAGTACTGGTTATGGCATGGGAGGTCATGAAAATGCTAGAGGTGTGGTAGCTGTAGAGGATTTGAATGCTCTTAAAGAATCGGCTAAGAAAAATAGAGAAGCTGTTAGCAATCCACCTTAAATTAATTTAATTGTAATTATAATAGAATATGTAAAATATTACCTCAATAAATTTCAATTTAACTGTATTTATGTCAATTATTTAAATAACTGATTTAGCTAAAATTAAAATAACAATAGATAAAATCTGCTTTAGAAAATAAATTGTGTTTTTTTTTTAAACGTAACAATAGCAAACCGAACTGCTGTTGTATCGACTACTGTTAATCCAAAATGTAATAATTTGCTATAAAATTAATTTATAATTAATGCGTTAAATTTATAATTTATATAAGTTTTTAAAACTTTATTAAAATTGCAAAGAAATAGATTTAAACAAAAAAGTGAATGTTGCCAGAGTATAATTCCATATTTAATAACAACTGCTTTATCTTATACTGCTTAATCTACACTTTACATAAAACAATATTATTTATAAGAATTCCGTTAGATTTCTAATAGATCTTAGGATAATGAAAGTGATAAATCCTCATATATTTCTGCCACTAATATATTTTTAATAAATTTATTTATATTTATATAAAAAAAAGCTAAGGAGAGCTGATATTTGTAGTTTTGTATTGCTAAACAAAACTACTTTTGTTGAAATTAAATATTTGTAGCTTGTTGCTTTTTTGTTAAAATCTTAATGTACTTTTTTATAAATCTAAATTTTATAGAAATGTAGTTCCATAAACATGAAATGTTGATTATACCCCTGATTTGGCAAAAGTGTTTAAAACATTCAACAACTATCATTAGATTACAGTTTTTCACAGTTATTGGTGAAAACACATTGGTTGCGACAATGTCTAATATTAATATTTGCCTTTCTTTGTTAATTATTTATTTAACATTAGAAATTGTTGCAGCAAAACCTGTTAAAGAAATTTCCTATTTAGAAAAAAATATAAATTTTCAATATGAAAATGGTAAGAAATAATGCAATTTTTTTTTTTTCGAAATGTAAATAAATATCGAATGTGTGTTTTTTTTAAATTCTATAGATCAATGGATTTGTGGTGATATTGAGTGTCCAGATAATACCTTCGGCTGTAAAATAAGACTACACAGTGATGAAGAAGATAAAAAAGTATTTCATCAAAGTTTTACCTGTTTTGATGAAGATAAAATGCCTACATTAGGTGCTGAAGATAGAATTGAAATGCTTAAGGAAAAAGAAATCGATGTAGAACTGGAAACCTATAAGGGTGCCGTATCGGTTTATATGACTCGTTATAGTATGGGGGGTCATGAAAGTGCTAAAGGTGTAATAGCTGTAGAGGATTTAAATAATCTAAAGGAATCCGCTAAAAGTAATAGAGAATTTGTTAGCGAAATTTAATTTTTTTAATTATTATAATATAAAAATATTTTTAAAGCTCAATAATTATATATCAGTTATTACCATTATTCGCTTTAACTATAATTAAGGCAATACTACCCAGCAAAAATAAAATGAAGTACTTTCAAATGAATAACATTTATCACCACTTCAAAATTAGCACTAAGCGAACTTTTTTCCTTCTGAGGAAGTGATGTTTAAAGACTTCCGAAGAAGCAGAAATAATTCAATTTTTTCAATGTTAAAGTTGTATAGTTTGTTCTTACATTTTTTTAATATTATTTAAGTCAAATTAGTTGTATTCTATAATACTACAATTTCACTTGCGAATAATTTCCAAAAAAAGAGCGTTCAAATTACTTCCTGAGAATGACTGCTGAAGTAGAGTATTCGGAATCAAATAAAAATAATAACCCTCCTATGACAAGCGTGTGTTAAAATCATCACTTCTTTAGGACTTTTTTAGTACTTCCATGAAGTAAATTCTACTTCTTTTTCGCTTCTTTGGAAGTTCTTTTTTTGCGGGGTAGTTACATACAATTTCTATAAATTAATTGTTTTGTTTTTAATAGCAAATAAAAATTAACAAAAAAAAAAAAAAAAAAATACTATATTTTTTAAATTATGGAATGATATTGTTGTTTTTATTATGTAACATTTTCAATATACAACTTCGGTATTTTGACAAGAAACCGAAACAAACCTAATTTTCACTGATAAATATTTTTTCCATTTTTTTCAATTTATAATTTTGCGAAATTTATTTTGAACTGCCTTACCCAAGTCTATTGTATTTCTAGCGTAGCTTTAAACTAGTTTAAATTTTATCTCGCTTATCAAAAATATTATAATACTCTTAAAATGTCGTTTTTTTCTTTTTTACAGTATAAATCGGAATTGTAAAGGTGCTCACCGGTCGGTATTTTGAATATTAAAGTAAATTTCGTTCGATGTTGTAAGGTGCGTGTTTTCAATCGGTTTTAATCTATTAGTAAAGCAAAAAATAAATAAAATTTATAAAGATGAAAGATCTTAAAAAAAGTTGTAGCATTACGCATCGGTTCGGGAGTGTTTATTATTTTGTGGATAGTTTTTCGGTTAAATCGTGTAAAAGGCATGCTTGACACATTATTAAAGATGATCTATATGCAGTACCTTAATTTAAAGTACACTGCAGTACCCATGCTAACAAATTAGCAGAGAAAAAAGTCAATTACACCATTGCCCTACGGACTCAGCAATCCAATTGGTATTAGCTTCATTTGGTAAGTACAAATTACTAGCGTAAGATAATTTTTAAAATTCAAAAAAATATTCTCGTCTCTTACTATATAAATACATACATAAATCTCAATAAGCAGAATTATTAGAATTAATTTATAATTTTTTTTTTTTTTCTCTCATTCAAATTGTTTAACTTTTTATAATCTCATTTACTCAATATATCTTAAAAGTCTCTTTAGAAACGTCATACAAATGCAATAGTAGTAAGGTTCTTGAAAAAAATATATTGTAGTTAGATCTTAATGATTTAACAAATCACTTAGCGGGAATTCCCTTTATTCTACCTACTATCTCTTAAAAGAAACAACACCTTTTGAAATGTATAAAGATAGTGTTTATTTTTAGGTGTTTTTTAAATAAAATACGCTGTAAATATATAAATAATATTATTTGTTGTTATTTTTAAAATTGTTTTTATATTGTTTTTTTTTTTTGCTTTGTTTTGTTTGTATTTGCATTGAGTCGAGAAGTCTCTACTTGACAGTTATTATTGCTTAGTGTGGTCTAGAACTCGCTATAGAGCAAGTCGCAATTAATCGAGTCTAAATAATTTTAGTGTTTTTGACAATAAAAATATTCTAAAAAGATGTTTATCAAAAAATTAAAACTATTTGCCATTTGTGTACTATGTCTTAATATGTATGCGCAAGCACGTTCCGTTTCGGTCTCTCAGATGGGGGATGTTTATATTTCTATATCGGAGGGTAAGTAATAATTATAAAATATTACTTTTTAATCTAGTTCCTATATTTTTATAGACAAATGGATATGTGATAGAATCGAATGTCCCATGGATGCTTTTCGTTGTTTCGTTTCCAAATCCAATGAAGAGAATCCCTCTGTTTTAAAACGTATCAACACTTGCTATACCAAGGACAATCAGGCACTGATTCACAAAGAATTTGAATCACCCATTGATCCTAGTTCCCATATTCGTTTACAAATTACTTCTACCCGTAATGGCAATGTAATATCCGCTTCTAGTGGTTTAGAAAATTTCGATGAGAAAAAATTTCAGGAGGAAATGAATAAGATGCAAGCCAACTTAAATGCCCAAATGAGTGATTTGCATGCAAATTTACAAAAAATGAATGAAGACATTCATACAAATATTCAAAATCAAATGCGAGATTTGCAACATAATCTAAATAATATGCAATATAATTTGGCTCATATGTTTAATTAATCAAATTTCATTATTTTCACATTAATTATTTGACAAAAATTATGAAAAATTACACGAATGTGTTAAGAAATTTGTGAAATTTTGGTTATTTTTATATTATTGAAAATCTATTTAAATTATTTTATAATCCCGTAAAAATAAAAGATATTGTTTAAAGCATTACAATTTGTTTGAGTGATTTACATATATGATCTTATAGTTTTTCGTATAAAAACACAAAGATCTTTCCCAACAAGACTCGGGAAAAGCTAACAACTGAATTGCAATTCTAATCAAGATTCACAAATCTCCCGGAAAACGAATACAACTCTTGTAAAATCTCTTATAAATATCGCTGCCAGGATATAATTTAACAACAATTTATTTACTGCATAAATCCTATTATAGACTTCTAAGATAATCGGTTCATAATTGCCATTATCTTTCATATAAGACCCTTTTCCAAATTATTTGCAGTTGCTGTATAGTCAGACTTTCTTTTTTAGCTCGAGTCTTTTAGCTTTAGTCATCTTTTCGAAGAGAAATGATATTTTTATTAATCTCGTTATAGATCTTAAAACAAAGAACTTGACTTTTCTCTCATATACTGTATTTTACATTAAGTCCACAAATATCATTAATTTCGAGAAATAATCGTTTCAAGAAATACGATTTAAAATGTTTTAAGAGAATAGGATTTGAAATATTGAACCAGATTTATAAATTTCACATAAAACTTTAAAATAAATTTTTGCTTATCACTTATTCGTGAAAACATGAATATTAATTTTAACGTTTACAACAAAGAATCGAAATTAGAAATATTTAAAATTTTTAGTACACTGTAAAAAATAAAACCCCGTACTTTGAGTTAAGCCAGTTTTGTAGTAAATGAGTTATATTTGTATTTATTAACTGACTAATCAGTTATATTATAAAGTAGAGCGAAATTAAGTTCTAAAGAGAGAAGTTTTGATCTTGATCTTTGTAGCTCACAATTATTCATGAATTGTTTACCTAAACTACAATTGTTTAACGTTTATACTCAGTTTTTTTTTTTTTTTTTGAAATATTTTCTTTTCTATTGCAAAAACACCGGTAATTGATTAAAATAAATTATAAGTATAATGTTTTAAGAGTAAAAATAACAAAGAGCAATTTTCTGATCATGATAAACTTTTGAACTAAACACGAATTATTTAAATATTTTAAATAATTTCTTTATTAAATTTGTTATACCTGCAGCTGGAGATACATATAATTTAAATGTCCGATGAAAAATAAATCGATGTAGAACTGGTGTTTAATAAGGGTTATGGCATGGGAGGCCATGAAAGTGCTAAAGCTGTGGTAGCTATAGAGGATTTGAATGATCTAAAGAAAGTTCTAAGAGAATCAGTTGGCAAAGTTGAAATTGTTATACCACTTTGGTGGGGAGATTATATTGGATTTGTACTGATGTTTGTAGTGCATAGAATTAATGATCCTATACCCACCTTTAAGTATATCAATCGACTCAGAATCATTTTCTAAGTCGATTAAGCCACGTCCGTCCGTCTATCTGTCTGTCTGTGCATGTAAACCTTTAATTCAGTGGTGCTCAAACACATACTACCATAGACTACCATAGTTTTATTTGTGTTGGTAAAGCAGCAGAGAACAGAATTTAATTCAAAATAAAAGTATACTAATAAAATGACTACAAACTATAAAGTATATGCTAACTGTCAAATATTTATTATGGATTTTGACAGCCAGCGTATAGCAACGTCTATATATAAAAAACTATCAACTGTTCTCCTACATTAATTCGGCTTTCTCAAAATTTTGTTGTTGTATTTCTGTGTGTATTTTAAAAACGTCGCGCACAGACCTTGCTTTGACAAGTGCTGATCAGCAACTGATTTGATTTTGTTTTTCAAGTTGAGAGCAAACCAACTGATATTGCTCATTATAAAAAGAAGAAGAATTAAACCTATAGTGTATGTGTATCAACTTAGCGTCAGCAGAATTTTCTTACCCTATCACGCGTGCTATGACACGGCCATATTGAGCTTCTCTGCTTTAATTGGATGCAATATGTTACAAACATTACTTTTGGCCCAAGGACGAACCTTATTGATTTTTGTTGATATCGATCCATTATTTCACCTAGACCCCATATAACCTGACCCCCTAAATTGGGATTTGGAACTCATAATTATGCCAAATATACTAATATACCTACAAAAATAGGAACAACTACGTTTTTGTAACTGCAAAATTTCGTAGTGAGCGGCCCTTAGCCCTCTTGCAAAGTCCTCCTCTGAAAATGCTTGAACGTCATTAACACGTGTATTTCAATTAAATTCGGCATAATTAACTTCAGTACCTCAACCAAAGTTTTTTAGGATTGGTTCATAATCTAACCCTAACCCCATATATAGCGTCCATCAGAAACTATTTTCTTTATCAAAAATATATCGAAATAAAGGAAAAATTCAACATAAATGCATAAAAGATACACTCATAAGCGGTGTAGAGTGTCATATGATTAGCCACGCTCGACTATACTTGTTTGTTACTTGTTTTCTGTTTCAATTAAAAATAAAAACTTAGTTTTAGGAAACTTTCTTCTGAACTGCCTTACCCAACTATGTTTTATCTCCAGAGTTAGTTTTTAAGTGTAAATTTTATAAAATATATTTATTTATAATTTTTTTTTCTTTTTTTTACAGCATAAATCTATAAATCGGTGTTATAAAGTTGCTTGTCGTTCGGTATTTTAAATATTAAAGAAAATTTCGTTCGAAGTTCAAATGTGCATTTTTCACTCGGTTTTAACAAATTTGGAAATCAAAAATATATAAGAAAATAGCTACATATAGCATTGCTTAGTAATTCGAGTCGGTTCGGGAGTGTTTATTATTTTTCGGATTATCGGAGTTGTTAAGTTGCTCGGTCGGTATTTTAAATATTAAAGTAAATTTCATTCGAAGTTCTAATGTGCATTTTTCATTCGATTTTAACAAATGTGTAAAACAAAAATTTAAGAAAATAGCTATATATAGCATTGCTTAGTAATTCGAGTCAGTTCGGGAGTGTTTATTATTTTTCGGATAAATCGTGTTAAAAGCTTGCTTGTCATCTTATTAGATATCATGTATTTTATTTAATCTGCAATATCTTAAATTTTGAACACTGCACTATCCATATTAGCAGAGACAATAATCAATTACACCATTGCCGCACGAACTCAGCAATCCAATTGGTATTAGCTTCAACATACACCTCTTCTGGTAAGTACAAATATAGTATATTTGTATAATTATTTGTAAAATTATATTCAAATTAAAAAGAGATCTTAAATGTATATAAATTCTATTTAAAACCTAAATTCACAAGAAATTCAATTAATTCGAAGTAATCGAGATCACCTTCTCTCTTAATTATATCAAACTTGTTTTCAAATTTCAATTGAAATCACTCTTATTACTGCTTTTTAATGTGAATTTAAACAAAGTGGAATTTACGGTTTAATTTTATAAAGTCAGTCGAGTCTAGAAGTCACAGTCTAACAGTTGGCAATTTAACGTAATACGCTTTAAAAATGAGATATTTTAAATTATTTGCTTTATATCTACTCAGTCTTAATATATATGGTCAAGCATCATACATCGCCAAAATAGGGGATGTACGTATAGAACAATCGAATGGTAAATATTGGATTTAATAATATTGTTTTTATCAAGTAAACATCTCTTCATTTTCCTAGATATATTTCTATGTGGTAGTATCTTTTGCTCTTTTGAGAGTGTTCGTTGTTTTATTTCAAAATCAAATGAAGGACATCCCTCATTTGTAGAGCGTGTCAATTTGTGCTATTCTAAGGATAATAAAATATTGGATCAAATTATTTTTATTATACCATCTGATGCCAATACGAAAATTGTACAACAAATAAGTGCCACTCGTGAAGGTTATATTGAAGAAACTAATATAGAAAATTTTGATGCCAAAACATTCAATGAGAATTTCAATTATACGAGTTTTACTATTTGAAATTAGATATAATTAATATTTTAATTTATAGAAATATTAATCAAATTTATAGCTTTTGTATGTCGTTAATTTTAACCAGGACTATAAAGCATAAAGTTTTAATATAAAAAAGTGTAATATTTGTTAAAAAATTATAGTTAAAGTGTTAGTAAATTAGGAAAATTGAATGTTAATGTAATGTATTTATATTCAATTCTGTTTAAGTAGTTAAGTTTAAAAGATGGTGTATCAATAGTAAAAAACAAAAATGCGTAAACTTAAACGTTGCCAGATGGGTAATTGTAGTCATAATGAGTGAGTGTCTGGGTAACACTGTGATGAACAGCCTTACCTTCGACTGCTCTATCTACTGCGAAGATTAAAGTCTATAAAACCATATTTTTGTTAAGAATTTAAGATGTTTTTTTCAAATTTGTAAACAATTTAAAAACACCACATTATCGGCCATCATCTACACAGTCAACAATAAACAACTGCATTATCCACCAGCTAAGCTTACTCATAAACCTTTGCTGGTAAGTGAAAAAAGGTAGTATTAGCAAACAACTTTTTTAATCCCAATTTGTAAGTGCTTATTTAAGTTAAGTACTTGCCTCCATATTAAAATACGGATTTTAAATACTAATGAATAAGTAATGGCTTTTTCAGCTTTCTAACATATAACTTTTCAATGTAAGTTTTTGCTGGGACATTTAAAATTAAAAGTAATAATAATTTTATTATCTCATTTACACAAGAGTCTCTTTAGAAAAGTCAGTCAAATGTAATAGTAGCTAAGTTCTCGAAAAAATATATTCAATAGCTAAGTAAGCAGTAACACCTCCCACCTCTTGAAAGAAACAAAATTTTTAGATATATGTATGTGTCTATATACAAAAAGTATGCATTTCTAGATGTAATCAATTAAAATGCGCTGTAAATTGAAAAATAATATTAATTGTTATTTTTAAAATTGGTTTATTTTTTACTTTATTGGTATTTTTTGTGGTTTGTTGTATTTGCATTGAGTAGATAAGTCTCTACTTGACAGCTATTATTGGTTAGTATGGTCTAGAACTCGCAGTAGAGCAAGTCGTAATTGATCGAGTCAAAATAACTGCGGTGTACAAGTTTAATTAATTTCAGAAATAATGTTTAAACTATTTGTCATTTGTGTACTATGCCTTCACATATACTATGTGCAAGCACGTTCGATATCAGTCTCTCAGATGGGGGATGTTTATATTGCTATATCGGATGGTAATTATATATAAAATATTTTTTCATCTAGTTCCCATCTATTTATTTATATAGACAAATGGGTATGTGATAGAATTGAATGTCCCATGGATGCTTTTCGTTGTTTCGTTTCGAAATCAAATGTAGAGAATCCCTCTGTTTTAAAACGTGTCAATACTTGCTATACCAAGGACAATCAGGTGCTGGTTCAAAAAGAATTTGAATCATCCGCTGATCCTAAATCCCGTATTCAAGGACAAGTTACTACTACGCGTAATGGCAGTGTAATAACTGCTTCTAATGGCTTAGAAAATTACGATGATAAAAAATTTAAGGCTCAAAAGAAGGAAGAAAAGGATAAAATGAAAGCCGACATGAAAGCCCAAAAGGAAGAGTTAAAGGCAAATCTAAAGAAAATGAAAGAAAACATTAAACACATGTCTTATTATTGAAAATCTCTTTAAATTTTGTTGTAATCCTATAAAAATAAAGAGTACTTTTAAATCAGTATTATTTCAATTATAAAGCCTCCGATCTTATGATTTTGATTACTCTTTGAACACATAATTTGACTTTTGTAGACCAACCTACTTTGTACATACAGATGTATGTTTCGAATTGAACTTTTTATACACTACACCACTGTAGTGGAGAGGAGGGTATATTGGGTTTGTGCTGATGTTTGTAACGCACCAAAATATTCGTCATGTACCCACCTTAAAGTATACCAATCGGCTTAGAAGCGTTTTCTGAGTCGACTAAGTTTTTTTAAAAGTCCAGCTAATTTTTTATTAGATCGGGCCTCATCGACCCTAGCTCCCATACAAAGTCCCCTTCAGCAAATGACTTAAATGTCCAAAATTAATACACATATCGAGAGGAAATTTAGCACAAATAAATATATTAATATAAAACTATTCACCGAATTATATAGGAATCGGTCCATATTTGCCCCTAGCACCCATATAAAGCCCCTTTCAGAAAATTAGTTTTTCATCCATTAATTGCTTAAAAATATATCGATAACAAGATAAATGCTTTATAATGGAAAATAAATCACAATTAATATTCATTACTAGTTTAGGGTATCATATGATCGGCCATACTTTCTTACTTGTTTAAATTTAACTTCTGCGGTGGCTTTCCAAGAAACTTGCAGAAAAAATAAGAAAATTATATTGACATTCATATCGTTGTGTGAGTATTTATAAGAAGTCATTGGATTTTCCAAGTTTTTAAAGAAATTGTGTATAATAATATGAAATCGTGACTTTCGGTTGTCCGATATTTTATTAGAGATGGTATCTCTTGTCAGTTGTATCATAAATAAAGAGGCCCTATTTCGTATTCTGTGTGAGCATTTATTTTGCACTGTAAGTGCTTATATAAGTTGTTATTTGTAAGCGAGGGTGGAAAGTACTTGCTTCCAATGTAATCGTAGTGTTACAGTAATGAGTTTAAACCCTAATGAATAGTAGTTTGGTTCTCGACAAATATATATTGTAATTAGGCTTTAATGATTTAATAGTTCAGTTAGCAGGAACATATTATTCCACCTCCCACCGTTTAGAAAAACCAAATTTTTAAAAGTTTATACAGAAAGTGTTCATATCTACATGTTGTAAATCAAATAAAATACGCTGTAAATTTAAAAATAAATTGTTATTTTTTAAAATTGGTTAACAAATATTAGCTTTTACTTGATTTCCATTGTATTTTTTTGTTTTTTGTATTTGCATTGAGTAGAGATGTCTCTACTTGACAGTTATTATAGGTTAGTATGGTCTATAACACGCTGTAGAGCAAGTCGCAATTGATCGACGATAAATAATTGTCGTATACAAGTTTAATTAATTAAAAAAAAAATATGTTTATCAAAAAATTTAAAATATTAGCCATTTGTGTACTATGCCTTAATATAAATGTGCAAGCACGTTCTGTCACTCGAATGGATGATGTTTATATTACTCGATCGAAGGGTAAGTAATTATTATAAAAAATATTTTTTAATCTAATTCCCTTCTATTTAATTATATAGACAAATGGGTATGTGATAGAATTGAATGTCCCATGGATGCTTTTCGTTGTTTCGTTTCGAAATCAAATGAAGAGAATCCCTCTGTTTTAAAACGTATCAATACTTGCTATACCAAGGACAATCAGGTACTGGTTAAACAAGAATTTGAATCACCCACTGATCCTAGATCCCGTATTCGAGGACAAGTTACTTACTTAAGTAATGACGATGTTATAACCGCTCCTAATGGCTTAGAAAATTACGATGACGAAAAATTTAAGGCTCAAATGAAGGAAGAATTTGATAAAATGCAAGCCGATATGGCTGCTGACATGGCTGCCGAAATGAAAAATTTACACGATGATCTACAAAAAATGAAGGAAGAAATTAATAGAGATATTCAATATGAAATGCGAGACTGGCAGCATGATCTAAGTGAAATGCAATATGATTTTGATCACATGTTTGATTGATCAAATCTTCATTATCTTCACAATAATTATTTGGCAAAATTGTGAAAATATATTTTTATATAGTTCTGATAAAAAAAATCTTATTGAAAATCTATTTAAATTTTATTGAAATCCTATAAAAAATAAAAGATATTGTTTAAAGCATTATAGTTAGTGTGAGTGATTACTATTTCAATTATAAAGCCACCGATCTTATAATTCTGATTACTCCTTTAATACAAAGTTTGGCTTATACAGACCAAATATCTTTGTAAATAAGTTTCGAATTAAAGTGCTTATTGCAGAAACTCGGTATGCCACAAAATAAAAATATTGAGGAAAACGATTTTGAAAAATTTTTTAATTATATGAAATTTGTTCAAGTAGGCCTTATATTTTGCACTATATTTATTAAAATTGTATAAAAATATTTTTGGTGAAGGGTACTCAGTGCAGTTAGCTCATATAATCAGTTTTCTATATCGAGTGGCTTATCATGTTACTGCAGCAACAAGCCCTTCAATTAAACTTTTTCAAAGTTGAGTACTAGGTTAATTTTCTTTTTGTCATGCATTTGAGAATTTTTATATTTCAAATCAGCAAATATATGTTAGAGATTTGATCAAAGTTATGAATAAAAAGAATTATTTGTTTATATATATATTTTTAATATTTTATATTCAGTAGATAGATAACATGTATATGAAAAGAAAGGGTTTACGGTGACCTTTCATTTGATATACATATGTATGTATATATATTAGGGTTTTCATTCGATTAATGGAGGAAAAAAAATTGTTTTCTTCGAACGAATAAAAAATTTTTAATTGAGAATAAAGAATAATTCGAACAATTGTCGAATATTTGAATAATATTTTAATGTTAATTTTTACGAGTATTTTACTATAGTATTGAACAAAGTATAACAAGTAGTCCGACTCTCACATATAGAAAATTACTCTCTCACATATACGAGTTACGTGTGAATTCAACTCTCTTGTGAGAATTTTAAACTTGTCAAAACCCTCAAAAGTTTACCTTCCTTTTTTGACCACTTTTAAGGATCGTACGCGAAATTTCAGTTATCCCCAAAAAATCCGTAATTTTTTAAAATAGATTGATTGCACTTTTCACATAAAATATTGTTTAATTTTCTTAAACTGGAAACAAATTTTTTTTCTATTTATTGACATTTCATTTTTGTTGTTGTTGAATTTTAATTTACAAACAGAGTTTCAATTTTTGGTATTGAAAATTCAAACAAATTTAAAATTGTAATTTTTTATAAAACTCTGTGTGTTCAAAACGCACCAACACATATACATTTTTGTTACTAACACATATTTAGAGTTAGGTACTTTTTCACTAACACATGCTTAGAGTTAGGTACTGCTGTCAAAGAGTCGGACTACTTGTTAATATTTTGTAAAACAAATACAGTATTGTACGAAACCTAAAATATCGAACAGCTTTTGTAAAAATAATTTTTAATACAAAATATAGGCCTTTGTATACCTTGCAAAAAAAGTTGCTTAGGTTTCGAACAATACTGTAGATAATAATTGATATTTTATAAATTGATTTACAAATATTTGTTTTATAATGTAAGTATATTTTTATTTCGTATGATAATTTACATTGAGTAGAAAAGTTTCTTCTTGGCAGTTATTTTGGTTAGTATGGTCTAGAACTCGCTACAAAGCAAGTCGCAATAATAATTGAGGTGTACAAGTTTAATTAATTTCAAAAACGATGATTATCAAAAATTTTAAACTATTTGCCATTTGTGTACTATGCCTTCATGTATATGTGCAAGCACGTTCGATATCTGTCTATAATATGGGAGATGTTTATATTGCTAGATCCGAGGGTAAGTAATTGTTATTGTAAAATATGTTTTAATCTAGTTCCCAACTATTTAATTGTATAGACAAATGGGCATGTGATAGAATCGAATGTCCCCTGGATGCTTTCCGTTGTTTCGTTTCGAAATCAAATGAAGAGAATCCCTCTATTTTAAAACGTGTCAATACTTGTTATACCAAGGACAATCAGGTACTGGTTACGGAAGAATTTGAAGCACCCGCTGATCCTACATCCCGTATTCGAGAACAAGTTACTTTTACACGTAATGGTGATGCAATATCTGCTTCTAGTGGCTTAGAAAATTACGATGACGAAAAATTTAAGGCTGAAATGAAGGAAAAAATGGATAAGATGCAAGCCGAAATGGATGCCAAAATGAAGGAGTTACACGATAAACTACAACAAATGAATGAAAACATTAATAAAAAAATTCACAATCAAATGAAAAATTTGGATCATAATCTAAGTCAAATGGAATATAATTTGGCTCATATGTTTGATTAATCAAATGTTATTATTTTCACATTAATTATTTAGAAAAATTATGAACATTTATTACAAACGAAGGATTAGTTTGTATTTTTATAAAGTTTTGATACAAACTTATTCTTCATTATGATGGAAAATCTGTTTAAATTTTTGTTGAAATTCTATAAAAATAAAATTTATTGTTTAAATCATTATAATTTATGTGTGTGATTACTATTTCAACTATAAATCCACCGATCTTATAGTGCAAATTACTTCTTAAACACAGAGTTTGGCTTATACACCCAAATTACTTAGTAAATAAGTTTCGAATTGAATTTTTTCATATAGACATATAGGACCTCATTCCGAAATTCCATTTAAATTTTCTACATATGTTATGATGGCGGGTATAAAACATTCCATAGGACATTGAACTTAAAATAAATATCACTCTTAAAGTTCTGAAGAGAAGCGTTTTGATTCTAAGCTTTGTAGTTTTCTACAAAACTATTAAAATTTTATTCTCAGCTATTGTTTTTTTTTTAATTTATTATATTGAAGAAAACACCGGTAACACAGGCCAACAAAATGAAGGTTTGTGAAAACTTTTGTAACCAATTCTATAGGTTTTAATATATTTTTAGCTACTGAAACCGAATCTGTTATCTGTTATTCTCTAACACCCACCATTTTCTCACAAAATGGCATTGAATATTTTGTTCATATATTACAGACATTTTATATAATTCTAAAAATGTATTCCCGTTTAAAGGTTAATTTCGATTTTTTCGATGTCATCATAAAAACGGATCTTCATTATATATTTATCCTAGGTTTTATTTAAATTTGTTTCACTATGGTTTCTAGAAAATTTTCCAATATTGGATAGCTTGAGTTTGACCTTCACAGTTTATGGGTTAATATTATACGATTTTACTAAAACTTCAGATATATGTTTCCTATTATCTTGGTAATAACTTTTACAATTTTTAACCGATTTTTGTTTTATATATTATTGGAACGATAATTGTACACATATTTCAATTATTTGCCGTTTAAAACCAAAAAAGTTATTTACTGTCAAAATTTTTTGTTATAATAATTTTTCCCCTTCAGAGCCGTGGAGCCACCAGTTAATGTGGCCCCGCTAATTTTTCCACAATACATAACTTAAACTTAAAGTATTAGTCTAGAGGCAGAGAAGATTCAAAATCTTTGTAAAATCAAAGAATTTTATATTTGGGACAAAAGTATACAGTCAAAAGGACTAAAAGATGAAAATGTCGAAGATTGGTGGGTGATACGACTTTTTTATTGTAATTTTCGGAATCTGCACAGCAAATAATACTACAATAAGTGGAAATTATTTAAAAAGTTTTTTCATCGTTGGCCTGTGTAATTAATCATAACAATTTATAAATACAATAATTTAAGAGTAAAAATAACAGAGAGCCCACTTCAGATCATGATAAACTTTTGTACTAACTATAAATTAATCATTTTAATTTAAAACGAATAATTTATACACTTTAAATTGTTTGTTTATTAAATGTATTATAATTCTGAAAAACTTTCTTAGTAAATTGATGAAAACATAGTAAAAGTTTAATAACACTTATGGGAATATGACGAAATGTACTTTTATTTAAAAAATCTAGAGCATTTAAAATATTCAACAACTATCAATCAATAGATTACAGTTTTGCGCAGTTATTGGTAAAAACATTTTATTATTAATATTTGCTTTACTTTGTTAATAATTTATTTTATCTAAAGAATAGAAACCGTTTGTTGGCAATCCACCAGCTTAAATTATTATAATATTAAAAATATTTAATGATTTGTCAATTGCTTAAATAATTTGCTTTAACTATAATTAAGGCAAAAATAAACATTATTTTAATACATTAATTGTGTTATTTTTAATTGCAGTTGAAAATGAAAAAAAAAAAAAATAAGTTTTCTATTAAAAAACATGATAAATAATAATCTATTGTTATTACAATTTTGAATATAACAATTAATTTTTACACTGTTGTATCGGCTAATACAAACCTTAGTCAAGATCAATCTTTCAAGATTTGGAGTTTTTTTTTCATATTTGTGAAATTTTAACTAAATGTTTAAATAAAGATCCTAAGTAAAAATAAGTTTATAAATCGTAACATTATCATTGAATCTTGCTAAATCATAAATTTAAAAGTTCTTAGGACAATGATCTTGGTGGATCCTCTAATACTCCGTGCACCATATTACAGTGCACTAATATATTTGTATATATTAATTAACTCACTAATATGTAAATGTAATTAAATGTCACTCGATTAAGTTCTAAAGATAGGCTTTTTTTGATTTGGATCTTTGTAGCTCATGATTATTCATGAATTGCTTAACAGAACTACATTTGCTTAATTTTGTTTTTAATCAGCTTTTGTTTAACCCTTCAGCTTCGTGAGGAGGGTATCCGTTTGGAATTTCTATAATATAGTTTTTCGACCCCATAAAGTATATACATATATTTTGGGTCCTTATTGATAGCGAAGTCGATTAAGCTATGTTCGTCTGTCTGACTGTCCGTCTGTATGTTTGTTGAAATCAGTCTTTAGAAGACCCCAGATATCTTCGAGATCCCAATATTCAATAATTCTGTCAGACATGCTTTCGAGAAGTTTCCTATTAAAAATCAGCAAAATCAGTCCATAAATAACTGAGATATGTGCAATAATCTGAGACTACCTCTGAAAATTTCTTCAATAAATTATTTTATAAATAAAAGCATAAACAGCTACCATGAGATAAGGCAGTTGTATTTGGGTAATACAGCTTATATATGTTTGAGGGTGGTAATACAGTTGTATTTGTTTGTGGATAGATAATACAGTTGTATTTGTTTCTGCGTGATGCGTGCAGAGATACAAGTCGATACTGGATGCAGCTTGAAGGGTATATAAGATTCGGCCCTGCCGAACATAGAACTCTCACATGTTTTTTATATAATTTCTGTTATATTAAAAAAAAGCAATGGTAATTAATTATAACTTATAAATAATGATTTAATAGTGAAAATAACAGAGAGCACTATTGATCATGATAATATATTTTTTGAATTAATTATAAATTAATTAAGGTTTAAAACGAATAATTTTTACACTTTTAATAATTTGTTTATTAAATTTATTAAAATGTTCAAATATTTAATCAACAAATGGTATGAAATGTTTAACATACTTATATTTGGAAATTTAAATTTTATAGAAATGTAGTTTTATAAACATGAAATGTTAATTATACCTCTAATTTATTAGAAGTTTATTTCAAAGTAAGTATATAAAACATTCAACAAATATTAGTATCGACACAGTTATTGGTTAAAATATATTAGTTGTGACCATGTCAAATATTAATATTTGTCTTACTTTGTTAATAATTTATTTGACATTACAAAATGTTACAGCAAAATCTGCAGAAGAAATTTCCTATATAGAAAAAACTATTAATTTTCAATATGAAAATGGTAAGAAAACAGCAAAAAAAATGTTTAAGTAAATAATGTATTTAAAATTCTACAGATCAATGGATTTGTGGTGATGTTGAGTGTCCAGAGAAGACTTTCGGCTGTAAAATAAGTCTACAACATACTAAGGGGCAGGATGATGAAGCCGTTTATCAAAGTTTTAATTGTTTCGATGAATCTAAATTTCCTACAGTAGGTGCTGGAGTTAGATTGGAAATACCAAAGGAAATACAAATCGATATAGAACTGGAGTCCTATGTGGGTGCAGTATCGAATTATTTTACTGGTTATAGCCTGGGAGGTCATGAAATTGCTAAAGGTGTGGTAGCTGTAGAGGATTTGAATTATCTTAAGGAAGATGCTAAGGACAATAGAGAAGCGTTTGGCAATCCAGCTTAAATTTTTTTAATTATTATAATTAATATAAAAAAATAAAACTACTGCATTATTAAATAGACATTTGATTCTCTCATTCATTATCAATTGTCAATTCTCTCTTCCTTCTTTTTTTATATTTTTTGTGATTTCTCTTAGCATCTCAGTTTGTAAACGGGGTTGTTGTGTTTCACGTCGTCTTTATTACTGCGTTCTGTAAAAAACTAAATTTTAATATTAAAAAGGTTGAGTTTTTGTTAAATAATATTAAATTAATAAATTTTAACAATTCATTACAACAAATTATGTAGACAGAGTTTTGTTCTGTGTTTTATTTGTTAAAGTTTTAAAAATGGTGCAGCAATAGAAAAAAAGCAAAAATGCGTAAATTTAAACGTTGCCAGATGTGTAATTATAGTCATAATAAGCAAAAATGCGTAAACTTAAACGTTGCCAGATGTGTAATTGTAAACATAATAAGTAAATGTATGGGTAACACTGTCATTAACAGGCTAACCTTAGCCTGCTTAATCTACTGTGGAGATTAAAGCCTTAAAAACTACAATTGTGTGAAAAATTAAAATCGATTTGTAAATTTGAGAAATTTTTATAAACTTTTTGCAGTTTTTATTATTAAAAATGTAATATTTATAGAATACTTTTGTGAAAATTTTATACCTTTCTTATAAAAATCTATAATCTTGTTTAATTTCTTTCTTTTGCAGTGCTAAACGAGTGAAGTTTGGTGTTTTTTAATAATTAAGTAAATTTGAGAAAAAAAGTGTTTTCGCGGTTCGCGTCGGTAATTTTTAAAAGTGGTAAAATAAGTGTTTATAAAAAATAAAAAAATGTTTTGGCGGTTCGTTTCGGTTATTTAAAAAATAATAAATTTTGCATAATAAGTTAAAATTTTATCGTTTTCGCGTCGGTAAATTTTATAAGTTAAAAAAGAAGCGTTTAAATTAAAAGTCATTGGTTTTTCTAGTTTTAAAAAAAAATTTAAAGAGTATATAAAGTAATTCAGTGTTCTTTTAATAAATAAGTAAATTTGCAAAAAAAAAAGTATTTTTGCGGTTCGTGTCGGTAATTTTTAAAAGTGAAAAAATAAGTGATCATAATAAATAAAAAAATGTTTTGGCAGTTCATGCCGGTTATTTAAAAAAAAAATAAGTTTTGCATAATAAGTTAATATTTAAAATTTTCTCGTCGGTAAATTTTATAAGTTAAAAAGAATCGTTCATATCGTTCGTTTAAATAAAAAGTCATTGGTTTTTTCCGAGTCTTTTAAAAAATATATAGAAATATATATAATAAAAGTGAAATCGTATACTTCAGTTATCATTTATTTTAATAGAGATGGAATCTCCTGTCAACTGTTGCATCATAATTTTAAAATACCACATTATCGACCATCATCTATACTAGCAGAGACAACAATCAAATACTGCATTATACACCAGTTAAGCTTCATCATAAACCAGTGCTGGTAAGTCCAAAAATATGTAGTAGTGTTGTAAAATGTTTAATTTAGATTTTGTTATAATGTCTTATAAATCCGTAAGGAGGGTAGGATGCAAGTTTGACATTACGTTTGTAATTTTTGTAATCTTATTATCCGACCCTAATAAAGTGTATTCTGGATCCTTATAGCTAGCGGAGTTGGTTTAGCTATGTCCGTCTGTCTGTGTGTATGATGAAATCAGTTTTCAGAAAACCCCAGATATCTGTGAGATCCAAATTTTCAATAATTCTATCAGACATTCGTTCAGGAAGAACGCTATTACAAATCAGCAAATTCTTTTTCAAAATTTACTCCTATGGTGAATTTTCTTCTTGTTATGCTTTCGAGAATTTTTCTATTTCAAATCAGCAAATATATGTATATTAGGGGTTTGATCAAAATTACGAATAAAAACAATCCGGTATGTGATGGAATTTGAAGTCGATCGAGAAATAGTTTATTATTTTCTTGTGAAATAAAAAACACAGACAACAAAATACTTTCAATTTAAGAGAATCAATTAAACAAAATATGATACATTGTATGAAAAACCGCAGAAATTTAATGTTAAATAATACAAAAAATCGGTTTTGACGATTTCAAATCGATTCGATTTTAAAAATGAATTTCATCAATATTTATTGGACAGTATATTTAGTAGGTAGGTAACATACGTATGAATATGAAAAGAAGGTTTTTTCGGAGACCTCTTTATATATTGTCTAAGAATATGGAATTCTTGCATGTGTAGTGGAAAATCATGATTGCAAGGTTCAAATTTAAAAATTCAAAATAAAAAAGTTTTATAAGAACTAAGAAATCTTTACGAAATGACTTTAAGCTCTAACAGAAAATCGGCTTATCGTATCGTTTAAAAATTGCGGTATTAAGATATCACTCTCAAAAATTCTGTAAATTACGCTTATTTCAATATCGATATCTGACAATACATCATAAATCGAATAAAAGAATTAATCGTGGTAACTATTGTATTCACTTGGATTTTAATCCGAGTTACTATGTTTTTTAAAACGGCCAGATCCGACCATGTTCTTCAAAATATCGAGCAGCTTCTGAAAAGGATTTGAGTCAGGAAATTTTAAAGCGAATCCAAAAATTTGGAAAAAAAAATAATTTTAAATAGAAACTATAGGTCTTTTTATACATTGCCAAAAAAAGTTGCTTAGGTTTCGAACAATACTGTAGATATTAATAGTTTTTTTAATTGGTTTACACGTTATACTTTGGTTTACACATATTTGTTTTTATTTCCATTACATTTTTATTTTGTATGATAATTTACATTGAGTAGAAAAGTCTCTACTTGACAGTTAGTTTTGGTTAGTATGGTCTAGAACTCGCTGTAAAGCAAGTCGCAATTAATCGAGTCTAAATAACTGAGGTGTTTAATTAATTTCAAAAAGGATGTTTATCAAAAACTTTAAACTATTTGTCATTTGTGTACTATGCCTTCATATATATGTGCAAGCACGTTCGGTATCAGTCTCTCAGATGGGTGATGTTTATATTGCTATAACGGATGGTAAGTAATTATAATAAAATATTTTTTTCATCTAAATAAGTCCCATCTATTTATTTGTATAGACAAATGGGTATGTGATAGAATCGAATGTCCCATGGATGCTTTTAGATGTTTTGTTTCAAAATCAAATGAAGAGAATCCCTCTGTTTTAAAACGTGTCAATACTTGCTATACCAAGGACAATCAGGTACTGGTTCAAAAAGAAGAAGAAACACCCATTGATCCTAGATCCCAAATTCGAGGACAAGTTACCCTTTTATGTAATGGTGATGCAATATCTGCTCCTAATGGCTTAGAAAATTACGATGACGAAAAATATAAGGCTCAAGTTAAGGCTGAAATGGATAAGATGCAAGCCGACATGGATGCCCAAATGAAAGATTTACATGCTAATCTACAAAAAATGAATGAGGACATTAATAGAAATATTCAAAATCAAATGCGAGAATTGGATCATAATCTAAGTCAAATGCAATATAATTTGGCTCACATGTTTGATTAATCAAATGTCATTATTTTCACATTAATTATTTAGCAAAATTATAACATTTTTTTATATAAACACGGATGGTTTGTGTGTTAGTGTTTTGATAAAAAAATATGTCTGCTTTATTGTTGAAAATCTATTTAAATTTTGTTGTAATCCTATAAAAATTAAAGGAATTATTTAAAAGCATTATAATTTATTTATACAAATTTTTGTATTTAATTCATATGGGGGTTCCAAATATGTTCAGGTGAATATTTAAGTTCTTAGTGAAAATTTTAAGAATCTAGTTCTATTAGTTTCCCAGACAAACGAATTTTTTTATTTAATTCATATGGGAGGTTTCGCTCCCCCCATTGGTATTCCGTCAATTTATTACCCAAAATGTTTACATGGATGTTAAAGTTCTTCCCGCAAAATTTGAACATTCTACCTCCTATAGTTTTCAAGATAAACGAATTTTTGAATTTTATTCATATGGGAGTTGCCACGCCTCCGCCGTTTAGCTGTCTATAAAGTCCAAACAAACAAACATACAAACACACATTAATTTTTATATATGTATATAGATTAAACATTTTTATAAAAATTATTATAACACAAAATGTTTTTATAAATCTGAAAGCCCTTTGTACAGATATTAATTGTTATTTTTTAAATTGGTTTACAAATATTTTTTTAATTTCCATTACATTTTTGTTTTCTATGATAATTTGCATTGAGTAGAAAAGTCTCTACTTGACAGTTATTATTGGTTAGTATGGTCTAGAACTTGCGGTAGAGCAAGTCGTAATTGATCGAGTCTAAATAATTGCGGTGTACAAGTTTAATTAACTTCAAAAATGATGTTTATCAAAAACTTTAAACTATTTGTCATTTGTGTACTATACCTTAATATATATGTGCAAGCGCGTGCTGTCACTCGGATGGATGATGTTTATATTTCTAGAACCGAGAGTAAGTAGTTATTATAAAATATATTTTTAATCTAATTCCCATCTATTTAATTATATAGACAAATGGGTATGTGATAGAATCGAATGCCCTATGGATGCTTTTCGTTGTTTCGTTTCCAAATCCAATGAAGAGAATTCCTCTGTTTTAAAACGTGTCAATACTTGCTATACCAAGGACAATCAGGTACTGGCTCACAAAGTATTTGAAACACCAGTGGATCCTAGGTCCCGTATTCGAGGACAAGTTACTTTTTTACGTAATGATGATGTAATATCCGCTCCTAATGGCTTAGAAAATTACGATGACGAAAAATTTAAGGCTCAAGTTAAGGCTGAAATGGATAAGATGCATGCCGACATGGCTGCCGAAATGAAAAAAGTACAAGCAGATATCAAAAAAATGAAGGAAGACATTAGAAGAGATATTGAAAATGAAATGCGAGATATGCGACGTAATCAAATGCGATATACATAATTTGTTACATATTTAATTAGTCAAATGTCATTATTTTTGCATTGTTAATTTGCCAAAATTATGATAATAGGTCTGTTCCATAACTAAAAGTTGTTACTAATTTTCAAAAAAAAAAAAATATTTGAAATTTGTATTTAAATTTTTTGTTATTGAAAAGACATAATTTATTACAAACTTTATTATTGAAAATCTATTTAAATTTTATTGTAATTTTACAAATAAAATATATATTTTTTGAGGCTCTAATAAATTAACCACTTTCCCATATTCTGTAAATTATGTTCCATAATAACTCAAGGCACTGTAAAAGTCTCCCTACCGAAAATCACTCTAAAGCTTATTTTAATATCGATATATGACAATCATAAAACGAAAAATCAATGAAATCATGTTAAAAGGATCCCAAAATGATGGATACATAATATACATAGGTCCACATTTCGAAATTGTTATGATGTTGGTTATATAAGATTCGGCGTTACCGAATTTTTATACTCTTACTTGTTTTAGGTTCAGCTTTTTTTAAGAGAAAATCTCTGAATCTCGCTAAATCTTCAAATTAATCGAACAATGAACTTAAGTACACAAATATATATGTATTTATTAAATAAAAATGTAAATTAAATTAAATGTCATTCATAACGATCTGAAGAGAAGCGTTTTGATTGTTATCTTTGTAGCTCTCTTATAATTGAGGAATTGTTTAACAAAACTATGTATTTAAATTTTATTATTTATTATTTAAAAAACACCGGTAATTAATAATAACAAATTAGAAATACAATAATTTAAGAGTTAAAATAACCAGAGAGTATTCTTGAGATTATGATAAACTTTTGAACTAAATATAAATTAATCAATTTATTGAAATAGGTTTAAAACGAATAATTTATATACTCTTAATAGTTTGTTTATTAAATATATTATAATTTTAACAAAATTTCTCAGTAAATTCAACAAACTATAAGAAAAGTTCAACATACTTAAGTGAAAATATACTTTAAATTTAAATTACACTCTTAATTTGGCAAAAGTAAATGTCAAAAATCTAAAGTATTTAAAATATTCAACAACTATCAATCAATAGATTACAATTTTGCACAGTTATTGGTTGAAACACATTAGTTGCGACAATGTCTAATATTAATATTTGTCTTTCTTTGTTAATAATTTATTTAACATTACAAAAAGTTAAAGCAAAACCTGCAGAAGAAATTTCCTATTTAGAAAAAATTATAAATTTTCAATATGAAAATGGTAAGAAATACTGCATAATATTATAAAGTAAATAAATAATTAAAAAGTGTGGATATGTTTAAAATTCTATAGATCAATGGATTTGTGGTGATATTAAGTGTCCAGAGAATACTTTCGGCTGTAAAATAAGACTACGTAGTGATGAGAAAAATAAAAAAGTCTTTTACCAAAGTTTTAGCTGTTTTGATGAAGATAAAATGAATACATATGCGGCTGGAGATATAATTGAAATGGCAAAGGAAAAAGAAATCGATATAGAACTGGAGTCCTATAAGGGAGCAGAATCGGTTTATATGCTCGGTTATGGCATGGGAGGTAATGAAAGTGCTAAAGGTGTGGTAGCTGTAGAGGATTTGAGTGAACTAAAGGAATCTGCTAAGATAAATAGAAAAGCTGTTGGCAATCCACCAGCTTAAATTATTATAATTAATATTGAACAAAATTTTAATGATATGTCAATTATTTAAATTATTTGCTTTAATTATAATTAAGGCAAAAATAGATAAACATTTAATAAATTAAATGTGTTATATCTAAGTGCAATTGAAAATTAAATACAAATATTTTTTTCTGTTTAAAAACATGATAAATAATACTCTATTGTTAGTTATTACGTAAAAATTTTGACATTAACAATTAATTTTCTATATTATAGATGGTGAAGTGCACTGTTGTATCTGCAATAATTACACTAGTCAAGATATTAAAGATTTAAGATCTGTAGATCTTTGCTTTAATTATTGAATTTTAACTAAATTGTAGAAAAATGTCTAAATTAGCAGCAGTATATAAGTTTATTAATCGTAAATCATTAATTTAAAAGATCTTAGAACAATGATCTTGGTAGATTATCTAATATTCTATGCTAAATATTACAGTACACTTACATATGTATATGTGGGTATATATTAATTAACTGACGAATATGAAAATTTAATCAAATATAATGATTTAATAGTGAAAATAACAGAGAGCACTATTGATCTTGATACATATACTTTTGAACTAATTATAAATTAATTAAGGTTTAAAACGAATAGCTTTTACACTTTTAATATATTTGTATATTAAATTTACTAAAATTTTCAAATATTGAATCAACAAGTAGTATGAACAGTTTAATATACTGATTTAGAAATCTAAATTTTATAAAAATGTAGTTTTATAAACATGAAACGCAAATTTAAATTGTTAGAGGAATAATCATCAAATACCAATATCAAATTATAGTTCGAAGCAGTTATTGGTTAAAACACATTTGAGGCTGGCAATCCTTTAGCTTAAATTTTTTTAATTAATATAAAAAATAATTTTGAAACTATTTCATTATTAAATTGACATTTAATTCTCTCATTCATTAGCAATTGCAAATTCTTTCTCTCTTCCTTCTTTTATGTTTTCTCTGAGCTTCTCAGTTTGTAAACGGAGTTGTTGTGGTTTACGTCGGCTTTATTACTGCGTTCAATAAAAAACATAATATTAATATAAAAATTTATAATTTCCATTAAATAATATTAAATTAAAAAATTTTAATGTTTCATTGGAACAAATTTTGTAAACAGTGTTTAATTCTGTGTTTTATTTCATAAAGTTTTGCAAATGGTGAAGCAATAGTAAAAAGCAAAAAAATAAATGTGTAAACTTAAACGTTGCCAGATGTGCAATTTGTAGTAATAATAAGTAAGTGTTTGGGTAACACTGTTGTTAACAACCTTACCTTTGACTGCTTTATCTACTGTGAAGATTAAAGTCTAGAAAATAACTATTTTGTGAGGAATTGAAGCTAATTTCTAAATTTTATAACAATTTATAAACTTTTAATTAAATATATATAAACAAATATAAAATGTTATAATTTTTTAATTTATAATTTGCATTTCTTTTTTTTTTTCAGTACTAAATGGAAGTTTCAACGCGCGTAGTTTTGTTTTTATAAATAAATTTTCGAAAAAAAGTGTTTCGAGTTGTAAAATAAAAAAGTTTTGGCGGTTCGCTTCGGAAATTTTTGAAAGTAGAAAAATAAGTGTTCATATGTTTCGTTTCGTGTCGGTTATTAAAAAAATAAAATAAATTAAAAATTATTTTGGCGGTGCGCGTCGAAAAAGAAAAGAATCGCTTATATCGTTCGTTCTTGAAAAAATATAAAGAAATATCTAATGAAGTGAAATTGTGTACTTCGGTTACCCGATACATATTTTGATAGAGATGGAATCTTTTTTTCAACTATTGTATCGTAAATTCTAAATAACCACATTATCGGCCATCATCTACACTAGCAGAGACAACAATCAACTACTGCATTATCAAACAGCTAAGCTTCATCATAAACCTCTGCTGGTAAGTGAAAAAATACTAGTGTTGTAAAATTCACTTATAAACACAAATATCGAAATGAAATTCAGCACAAATAAATATTATATAAATATAAATTTATTCAGCAAATTTTATATGGATCGGTCCATATTTGCCCTTAGCCTCCATATAAAGGCTTTTTCAGAAAATTAGTCCATAAATAACTGGTGTAGAATATAGCCGGCCACGCCCGACTATACTTTCTAACTTGTTTAAATTTGACTCCTGCAGTGAGTTCTCAAGAAACTTGAAGAAAAAATAAGAAAGTTAATTTGACGTTGATATATATCTTAATTGTCAAGAGTCTCTTTAGCTAAGAAAAATCACCCAAATGCAAAGTAGTTTAGGAACTGGGAAGTGTGTCGTCCAAGAAATAAAAAAGGTTTATTTTTCAAATTTAATAATTCAAATCTTACATTTTATTAAAGATACTTATCTGCTGGGGGAGGATCCGGCCTTTTTTACAGGTTGATTTGAAGTGACCTGATCTTAATGTATAAAATAGCTCTCAACCCAAAAGCTCATTGTCCAAAACTACATACTTTTAAACCACAAAGTATAAAATTCATTAGTTGTGTAATATATATAAATAATTCACAATTCAAGGTTGGAATTACAGTATAATATTCAAGTAAATAAATGTATATAAGTATAAAAAGGTATAACAATTAAATTCAAATCAATATATGTAATTCGAAATTGTATAAACTATATAAAGTTGGTTATAACTTTCAACAGTTAGTATAGTCTAGAACTCGCTGTAGAGCAAGTCGCAATTGATAGAGTCTAAATAACTGTCCAGTATAATTTGTACAAGTTTAATTAATTTCAAAAATAATGTTTATCAAAAACTTTAAACTATTTGCCATTTGTGTACTATGCCTTAATATATATGTGCAAGCACGTTCCGTTACTCGGTTGGATGATGCTTATATTTCTAGATCGGAGGGTAAGTATATATTATAAAATATTTTTTAATCTAATTCCCATCTATTTAATTATATAGACAAATGGGTATGTGATAGAATTGAATGCCCTATGGATGCTTATCGTTGTTTCGTTTCGAAATCAAATGAAGAGAATCCCTCTGTTTTAAAACGTGTCAATACTTGCTATACTAAGGACAATCAGGTACTGGTTAGAAAAGAATTTGAATCACCCGCTGATCCTAACTCGCGTATTCGAGGACAAGTTACTTATTTAAGTAATGACGAAGTAATATCAGCTCCTAATGGCTTAGAAAATTACGATGACGAAAAATTTAAGGCTCAAATGAAAGAAGAAAGGAATAAGATGCAAGCCGAAATGGCTGCCGAAATGAAAAAAGTACAAGATGATATACAAAAAATGAAGGAAGAAATTAATAGAGATAATCAACATGAAATGGGAGATTGGCAACATGATCCAAGTGAAATGCAATATGATTATGATCACGTGTATGATTAATCAAATGTCATTATTTTCACATCAATTATTTGGCAAAATTGTGAAAATGTATTTATTGAAAATCTATTTAAATTTTGTTGAAATCTTATAAAAATAAAAGTTATTGTTTAAAGCATTATAATTTATGTGTGTGATTACTATTTCAATTATAAAGCCTCCGATCTTACAGTGCAGTTTTCTCCTTAAACCCAGAGTTAGGCTTATACAGATCAACTTACTTTGTAAATAAGTTTCGAATTGAACTTTTGAGGTGACTTATCTGTTCTATATTTTATATAAGCAAATATATACTAGAATTTGATCAAAAACAACGATTTTTGTTCTGTATTTTTTTATATTTATTGTATGGTATATTCAGTAGATAGGTAACATGTATATAAAATAAAAGGTTTTACGGAGATCTTTCATATTGTTTCATAATTAACCCAAGCCTTCATAAAAAAGTCCTTCCGAAAATCAGCCTGACTCTTATTTTAATATCGATATATGACAATATATCATAAATCGAATAAATGAATTTATCTTCGTAAAAAATCAAAAAAAAAAAAAGTTCCAAAGAAAAGTCCATATGGATACATAACGACCTAAAACATATACATATACAGGGCCTCGTTCCGAAATTCCATTTAAATTTACTACATGTCAAGTGACATAACTCAAAAAATCGATTTTGACGGAATTTGCACTAAGGTTAGTACTATTGGATAGTAGGTCAGACACAAATTTTCAGCTCTATCGGCCAAGAACTGCCTGACTTAGAGGGAGTCAAAGTTGGACATTTTGGTCATATAGGGTTTTTTGTTCAAATGAGTGTAACTTTTCACCTATTGGTCCTAGCAAAAATTGCCCAAAGGAGTTCAGAGAGCTATTTCTTCATTCTTTTCAAAAGGACTGAATAGGGCTTTATAGTCCCATAATGGAATGCGAGTGGAATATCTATTAAAAAAAATTATTTTTTATAATTACAATTTTTTTCAATATTCGGCCTTTCCTTAGAATGATTTGACATTTTGATTTGACCGCATAATCTGTTACCACGGGAACCGGTAGCCCACAGGGCAGAGTTTCGGACTTTGTTCTGTCCCGGTTATTGGAGAGGTATCTTCGGGGTGCCCATGGTGGCTGTGGTTTAAACCCAAATTCGCGGAAAGAGAATGTCGGTTAAAAGACTGATGCACGGTAAATTCTATAATTCGTGATAAGTTCGGTGCTGTTGCCGAAGACAACAGATACACCACAGAGGAGTGACTGAGATTAAACGTTGGAAATGAGTAGGTGTAAAGTGTATATGATACGGGATGTCAGGTGTTCACGTAAAGCATTCGACATCTTGTGCACTTGCACTCCTTGTGGTTTTAAGTCCTGCGGAATAGTATTTGTACTAACAACTTCATCCGTATTTAGCCGGATAGACGGTTTTAACGTTTTTTATTATTTTTTGCATAAAAAAGTTGGCGGATTATAAAAAACACACATTTTAAAATTTTTGTTTCTAACGAAAATAATTTAAAACAAACAAATTAAAAAGTAAATAAACTTTGACAGTTAGAAAATATAAAACAAAATAATCAGCTGCCTTATTGACTTCACCTGTAAATAAATACATCTTGTATTTGTTAAAATTTTTTTACTCAACTTTTGTTTTTTTTGTTTATATTTTCTATTATATTAAAAAAACAACGGTAATTAATTATAAACATAATGATTAAATATTGAAAATAACAGAGAACACTATTGATTTTAAACTAATTATAAATTAATTAAGTTTTAAAAAGAATAATTTTTACACTATTAATAAATTGTTTATTAAATTTATTACAATTTTGGAATATATAATCAACAAATAGTATGAAAAATTTAACATACTTATTTAGAAATTTAAATTTTTATAGAAATGCAGTTTTATAAACATCAAATATTTATATAATTTGTTAGAGGAATATTACGCAGTCATTGGTTAAAACACATGAGTTGCGACAATGTCAAATATTAATATTTGTCTTTCATTGTTAATAGTTTATTTAACTTTAAACGATGTTACAGCAAAACCTGCTGAAGAAATTTCCTACATAGTGCTGGAGTTAGAATTGAAATACCCAAGGAAAAAGAAATCGATATAGAACTGCAGTCCTACGTGGGAGCAATATCTAACTATAGTACTAGTTATGTCATGGGAGGTCATGAAAGTGCTAAAGATGTGGTAGCTGTAGAGGATTTTAATGAACTAAAGGAATATGCCAAGAAAAATAGAGAAGTGTTTGGCAATCCTTTAGCTTAAATTTTTTGAATTAATATAAAAAAATTATTTTGAAATCATTTCTTTAATAAATTCACATTTAATTTTCTCATTCATTAGCAATTGCAAATTCTTTCTCTCTTCCTTCTTTTATGTTTTCTCTGAGTTTCTCAGTTTGTAAACGGAGTTGTTGTGGTTTACGTCGGCTTTATTACTGCGATCAATAACAAGCATAATACTAATATAAAAATGTATAATTTCTATTAAATAATATTAAATTAAAAAATTTTAATGTTTCATTACAACAAATTATGTAAACAGTGTTTAATTCTGTGTTTTATTTCTTAAAGTTTTGAAAATGGTGAAGCAATAGTAAAAAGAAAAAAAAAAAAAGTGTAAACTTAAACGTTGCCAGATGTGCAATTTGTAGTAATAATAAGTAAGTGTTTGGGTAACACTATCATTAACAGCCTTACCTTAGCCTGCTTTATCTACTGTGAAGATTAAAGTCTAAAAAATAAGAATTTTGTGAAGAATTGAGGCTAATTTCTAAATTTTATAACAATTTATAAACTTTTAATTAAAAATATATAAACAAATATAATATAATTTGCATTTCTTTTTTTTTTTCAGTACTAGATGGAAGTTTCAACGCGCGTAGTTCTGTTTTTATAAATAAATTTTCGAAAAAACGTGTTTCGAGTTGTAAAATAAAAAAGTTTTGGCGGTTCGTTTCGGTAATTTTTGAAAGTAGAAAAATAAGTGTTCATTTGTTTCGTTTCGTGTCGGTTATTTAAAAAAAATAAATTAAAAATGATTTTGGCGGTTCGCGTCGGGAAGTTAGAAAAGAATCGCTTATATCGTCCGGTCTTTAAAAAGTATATAGAAATATCTAATGAAGTGAAATTGTGTACTTTGGTTACCCGATAATTTAATAGAGATGGAATCTCTTTTCAACTTTTGTATCATAAATTCCAAATAACCACATTATCGGCCGTTATCTACACTAGCAGAGACAACAATCAACTACTGCATTATCAAACAGCTGAGCTTCATCTTAAACATGTGCTGGTAAGTGCAAAAACTCCAGTGTTGTAAAATGTTTAATGTAGATTTTATTAGACTATGTTAAGAATTCATAAAATTTTTTTAAGATTTTATATATCTTAATGCATTAATTGAAATTTTTCGCACAATATTTTACAAAATACCAATGGCTAAAGAGATACGTATGATTTGGTCATATTCATATCGATTTTAAAAGTATAAATTATTAAAAAAAAAAAAACAGTAATTTCTATACAAAATGTTAAAAACTGTTTCTGTTTTCTATCCATGTTTCTTAATACGAGCCCTAATATTGATATCGAATAGTTAATATACCAACAAAATACATAGTAGATTATTAACATGCGTACATATCTGGAGTATTATTAAGAATTTCATAATATTGAGTAGTATTTTAACTTCGCTCTAATTTGTGGCATATTTGTTCTTTCTGTCATTCAGTTAAGTGTTAGCTTTGCTTCTGACAAGTTCTATTATAAAAGAGTGTGTTTAGTTGTTGTAAATTTTATATTGTTTTTCCATCCCTCCTCTACTCGTTTCCAAAATGTCAAAATTTGAGCTTTCTTCTCTACTTAACGAAGAACTTATTAAACGTGCTCTCCAAAGTTATCACAATCTAAACAATTTGAGTGCTTTAGAAATAAAAGCTTGTGATTTTAAGCTTTCACCGGCTAATGGAGAAAACTTTTGCAGCGAAATTTATCTAGTGGAGGTACAATATGAAATAAATGGCAATGCTGAGCAAAAGTCTTTGATTGCCAAGATTTTAATACCCGAAATAGCGGACTTAGGCTCAAATGAATTTCGAATGCTTAACACCATACTGCCAGGTATGGAAAAGTGTTTATCTACAGCTGAAAATGACAATAAATTATATGCCAAATGTTTACTAAGTGAAAGTGATAAGGAAGAATTCTATATATTGGAAAACTTAAATAGTTTAGGTTATTACTGTGCTGATCGTTGTAAGGGTCTAGATTACGAACATGCTGAAATCGTAATGAAAAAACTAGCGAAATTTCATGCCGCCTCCATGATATATAACAAGAAAGTGAGTTGGATTTATTAAGTTCTAAAAATGTTTAAACTATTTTAATACTTTTTTTAAAGTTTCCCGATATAGTAAAATCTCTTTTAAATTCGGGTTTTGAAAAAGGTGCCTGTGATGAAGTTTCTCAAGTTATTACCTATGGTGGCTTTGAATATGTGGCTGATATGATAAAAAATTGGCCTTCCTATGAGAATCTGTCGCATAAAGTGCGTTCTGTTATAAAAAAATATAATGGTTTGGCTTACGAGGTAGTTAATTCTAAAAATTCCATATTCAATGTTATTAATCATGGTGATCTGTGGGTTAATAATTTTCTATATAAATATTCAGAAGATAATGGAAGACCTACAGATGTATTATTTGTAAGTAGATGATCATATTTGATGGTATGAATTTTAACTTTGGTTTTCTTTTAAGATCGACTTTCAAAATTGTTTTTGGGGCAGTTGTGGTGTTGATATAAATTGGTTTTTAAACTCTAGTTTGGAATTGCAAGTTTTAAAAGATAAACGTTTACAACTTATCGAATGCTATTATGAGGCCTTAAGCGGGACTTTGAAAAAAGAAAATTATCCTCAGCTAGAGATTCCTTCAAAAGAAGATGTTCTTATGGAAATTAAACGTTGCGAGTTTATTGGTTTTTATATAGCTTTATGTGAATTTCCAATGTTTGCTTTGGATAGATGCAAATCTCAGGGATTTGACAATAATACTTTTACTCAATCAGAGAAAATGAATGAAATCAGAGTTCTAATGTATGATAATCCACGTGTGAGAGATACTTTGGCTTATAGTTTAAAATATTTTGAAGAAATAAATTTGTTGTAGATTTTGAAATTTAATTTTTGATCATTTTTTTTTTTTTGGATCATTTGAGTTTCTGAGTTTCATTGTGTGATTTTTATGTGTTTATCAGGATTTGAAGGAATTTTCGTAATATATGTTGAAACTTTAAAGCAATTTTTAATCTATTGAATAATATTTTTATTATTAATTCAGTTATATTATAACTTTGTTATATTCAAGTTCTAACAATTCTTAAGTACAAATTGTTTACATTATCTACTTCTCTTATCATTAAAAACAAATCAAACAACTTTATTATCTGTTCTACTAAATGAAGAACTTGTCAAAATTGCTTTTTTTAAAATTTGCCCAATGTAAACAATATAAGTTGTTTTTATATACAAACTTGTATACAAAAAGATACAGTTTATTATCGTTTATTATAAGGGTCTCTTAAGAAAATCCTCCTGATACCTTTCTGTCCAGGATGTCCACGTGTTAAGGAAACTTTCAGGTACATTTAAATGTAAAGAAATTTTAATTTTCAAATATATTTACATATATTAATGTAAAACATGTAATAGATTAAAGAAGAAATTATGTGGAAATAACTGTCAACACTGCTGTATCTTAAACTGCATTATCATGCCAAAGACACAGTGGTAAAATACACACTTCTGTGGGTTTACACATTTAATTGCACTTGTGGTGAAATCTAATAGTGTTGAAAAATCTTTATGGAAAAACCAAATAAGATTAATTTCATATTTTTCTTCTCTTATAGAAACTTTTTTTTTATTCAAAATAAAAACATTCCTTTATAAAACAAATCTTTAGAATTAATTTCATTCTTCTTTACCTTGAACCTCTTTTTTCTCACATTTATTTTGCATAAAATCAAAAAATTCTATACGATAAACATGACCCTCATAGATTTTTGAAAATTTCCAATAATTTGGATATATTTTATGTTTAATCATGGCATGATAAAGGCTCAAACGTTGTTGTTCCGTAAATAAACGTCTTTTATGCTCCCAATGACGTTTTGACCAATTCTTTAAACTGCAAAATATTTTCAAATTCTCTTGCTGCTGAGGTTTCATATAAAAATTAAGAACATTTTTAAATTTTCCGCGTAATTTTTTAAAATTTATATTTTCAAAAGGTTCCAAGAATTTGGTAATATTAGCGGTAGTTCGTAGTTGTTGGGGGATTTTTATAAATAAACTGCAATAACAAAAAAAATACTCATAAATATTTAGTTATGATGAAAATACTCTCAATTAATATCTATATGTTAAACTTAACATAAGTACAATAAAATGATTATCTAAGTGGAGTATACATTTTGAATTTCATAATGTGTAAAAGCTTTTTTTTTCGCGGCCTTTAGTTTTGAGTATAAAATATTTTTGCTCCCTTTAGTTTACGTTTAACTGTGCTTTGAACAAGTTGTGCGAGTATATTACTTGGTGTAAGAGTTGTATTTTGTTGTTCTTAAAAATTGTGTTCATATTCCCCACCCCAAACTAACAATGACGCAAACTATGTTATCTCCCGTACTTAACGAAGAGCTTATCAAAAGAGCTCTCCAAAGTTATCACAATACAAGTGCTTTTAGTATAAAAGCTTGTGAATTTAAGCTTTCATCGGCAAATGGAGAAAACTTTTGCAGCGAAATATTTCAAGTGGATGTACAATATGAAATGAATGGCAATAATGAGCGCAAATCTTTTATAGTAAAATTAATGATACCGGAAATTGCCGAAATCGGTTCGAATGAAGAAGAAATGTTTAATACAGTATTGCCAGCCATGGAAAACTGTTTAAATGCTGAGGAAGTTGACAATGATAATAAATTATATGCCAAATGTTTGATAAGTGAAAGAAAAAAGGAGGAATTTTATGTTTTGGAAAATTTAAATAGTTTGGGTTATTTTTGTGCCGATCGTATAAAGGGTTTAGATTTGGAACATGCTTTAGTACTAATGAAAAAGATAGCAAAATTTCATGCCGCCTCCATGATGTTTGCCAAAAAAGTGAGTTGTATATATTCAATAACTTTAAGGAAAATTAATATTAAAGCTAAAATTTTTACAGTTTCCTGATGTGGTGTCATCTTTAAGAGGTTCCCATTTTGAAAAAGGAGCTTCTGATGTTATAGCTGAAGCTATAACTTTTGGTGGTTTTGAATATGTATCAAATATGTTAAAAAATTGGCCTTCATATGACTACTTGGCCCAGAGAGTACTGGCAGTTATACCAAAATTTAATAATATGGTAATGGAAGTGGTTAATTCCCAGAACTCTAAATTCAATGTTATTAATCATGGTGATTTATGGGTTAATAATTTCTTATACAAATATCATCCCGAATCCAATAAGCCCATAGATGTGTTATTTGTAAGTTTTGTTAGAACTATTTAAAAAACAACGTTTAATTTTGTGCTTTTTTAAGGTGGATTTTCAAAATTGTTTCTGGGGTAGTTGTGGTTTTGATATCAATTGGTTTTTGAATACCAGTTTGGAATTACAAGTTTTAAAAGATAAACGCCAGCATTTAATAGAAACATATTATCAGCAATTAAAAGAAACTTTGGAAAAGGGAAATTATCCCAAAGCCGAGATTCCCTCCTTGGAAGATGTTCTTATGGAAATTCGACGTTGTGAATTAATTGGTTTATACACCTCGCTATGTGAATTGCCCATTGTGGCCTTGGAGAAATCTAAATCTCAAGGATTTGATTGCAATACTTTTGGCCAGCCAGAGAAAATGAAGAAAATAAGAGTTTTAATGTATGACAATCCACGTGTTAAGGAAACTTTGGAACATACTTTAAAATATTATGAAGAAATAAATATGTTATAATAAAAAAAAACTTACTTGGCACTTAGTAATTGGGGAAATTCTAAAGCAATATCCACTAGTTTTTTCTTGTTTTCCTGTTTAAATCTTGGAAATTTATTCAAATCTTGTAGATAGTTTTCACTATTATTGGTCATTAATTCCTGTATGCTAGTCATAGGCTTTAACTCGGTTATATTGTTACTAACAGTAAAATTGTAGTGCGAAAAACTCGGTGGAATAGCATAAAATTCAAAACCTTGTTAAAAAAGTATTAATTAAAATCTTTATTTATAAAAAGTGTTAATTTTTAATTTACCTCTTATACTACAATCTGAATTAAGTTTTTCCATGTAATATAATTCTTCAGTTTTCTGTTTATTATTGCCTTCGAAAGAGGCTATTTCATTAATCAAGTATTTGAAAACATCATTTATACAGTCCGTATATTTTAATCTCAATGTCAAGGAAGTAGCACTGTAATAAGACAAGAGTTATGTATAAGTTTTAAAAACGTTTCATTTCTCTATTCATTTATTTTTATGTTAATTTGAATTTGAAAATATTTGTGTTATATGGAGAAGGTTTTCTTTTTTCTTCTCTAGATAATTTGCGGTTTTGTGTATTCATATTCGCCACAATGTACTTCTTAACTGACTGACAATTTTCCACTTGATAAAACATTTTCATTTGCATAATAATGTTCACAGTAAAGATAATAATGCATGCAAACCAAACGACCATACATACTCCTCGAACAAACAAATAACTATCATTGCCAGCTTCATCATCAACATCTTCAGCAGTATCATCATCCTCACCATTGACTGCCATCAAGCTAAAGTACACTATACTAATCATAAATGCAAAGTATTGCACAATGATGTTTCTACGACAATGTATGGCAAAGATATGGTTGCATTATAAATACAATATTTTTGCACTTTTCTCCTGATATAAATATATGAGCGTATTTCGCTTAAGTTAAAGGGTTTTTCTACTCTTCATATAACGACTTGAAGTATGTATTATCACAGGAGTTAGTTGCCTTTAGAAAAGGAAAATAACGAGTTGTATATACCACCTCATCATGCACCAAGTAGTTGTAGAAATCGTTAAGTTTAGTGAGGCACAACGCAGGTAAAATGGTGTAAGGGTTAGTACTTCTCAATAAAGTTTTATGCATACACTTATAAAAACAAAATGCGACCCATTTCCCACACAAAATCTATATCCGACATACCGAAAATATCATTCAGAAACCCAAATTGTTACCTAATCTGCTACCAACTGTTCAATTGATCTTAAGTAACCTTAAAGCTAATGTTTCTCTGTGTACTTTTCACATTAAAATTACATTAATATCAAAATAAAACAGAAAAAGGGGAAATTTCCACATCTTACCTTTTCAATTTCTTAACAACTTGAGATTCCGACATCACAGCATACAGTTCACAAGCTTCATTATCAGCAGATACATTCAAATTTTCCCCAATCCAGACATTAACTATAGTTTTTAAATTCGTTGTGTCATTTGTATATTCTTCACCTTCTGATCTTAAGGAATCATAATCACAGTGATTCTCTTTATAACTTGGTTCTCTGTGAATATAAATTCTTATGTCATCCTTGCCAAATATTTCCATAAGTGATAACAGATTTGGGAGTTCAGGATTAAGTATATAAACTTCAGCATAATTTGGGTGTTGCATGGAGTAACTGTTGCAGTAATAGGTTACAAATGGTAAATCTGATGGTATATGTTCCTCGGCAGCTTCATGATTAATAAATGTGAAAGGCTTAAAGAAGATTTCTAAATTAGTCAATAGTCTTGACTATAGATCAGTATATTGTCGTGACTATAGATCAGTCTATAGTCCTACAATATATAGTACTGATATTGATAGTATTGATATAGATCAGTCTATAGTGTATAGTCTTGACTATAGATCACTCTATAGTCTTGACTATAGATCAGTCTATAGTCTTGACTATAGATCAGTCTATAGTCTTGACTATAGATCTGTCTATAGTCTTCACTATAGATCAGTCTATAGTCTTGACTATAGATCTGTCTATAGTCTTCACTATAGATCAGTCTATAGTCTTGACTATAGATCAGTCTATAGTATTGACTATAGATTAGTCTATAGTCTTGACTATAGATCAGTCTATAGTCTTGACTATAGATCAGTCTATAGTCTTGACTATAGATCAGTCTATAGTCATGACTCTAGATAAGTCTAAAGTCTTGACTATAGATCAGTCTATAGTCATGACTATAGATCAGCCTATAGTCATGACTATAGATCCGTCTATAGTCTTAACTATAGATCAGTCTATAGTCTTGACTATAGATCAGTCTATAGTCTTGACTATAGATCAGTCTATAGTATTGACTATAGATCAGTCTATAGATTTGACTATAGATCAGTCTATAGTCTTGACTATAGATCAGTCTATATTCTTGACTATAGATCGGTCTATAGTCTTTACTATGGATCAGTCTGTAGTCTTTACTATTGAGTAGTCTATGGCCTGGACTATTGATCGGTCTGAACTATCATTAGTCTGTTCTTGGCTATAGATCAGTCTGTAGCATTGATTATATATCAGTATATAGTCTTGACTGGTGTATTGTTTTACCACTCCTGATGATACCTTTTGCTTTAGATGTTTTAACGATAACGGTTTATCTTGTCCTTCCTCCTCCATCTCTTCATTTAGATAATCATGAGAGGAACTTTGTGATATTAGATTTTCTAAAGAAATTGCAGAATTGTCTTTAAAAATGTTTAACAATGTAAAAAACTTAGTTACCAAACTCATCTCCAGCTTCGTGTTGAAAAATTTCCTCGATTGTGGTTTTAAATAAAGAACCATCTTTGTGAAAACATTTGAAACAATCCGAAGACCAAATCATTTTAACACCATCACTACGCTCACAATAGGATTCATTAGCAAAATAATCATGACATTCATTAATATGACAATGAGGTCCTTCAAAGATCTAAAGCTAATAAAATTAATAAAATAAATTTAAAAATTATATCGTTTATTTACCTTTCCCTGATGAGTCATATTTATTCGCCTTCCTTGGGAAGTGGTTATTATTATATGTAAATATTTTAAATCATATATATAACATAATGAATTTAAGAAGTTTAATTCATGGTTAATGCAAGATTTTAAAGTGTTACTTGATTTTTTAGACTCAAATTTATCTCTTTGGTTAAGTACAAGTCTTGAATCACCCTGAGCTTTGAGATCTATATAGCCCGAACTTTTCTCTTGAACCTCTCCTAGCTCACTAGTGTATCCTTGTTCTTCCTCTTCTTCTGCTAACTCATGTTGATAAAGTTTATATAGCTCACCATTATAACGCATTATCAAGATCAAATCATTACTCTTAAAGAAAACAATGATAGCTCCTAAATTAGTATAAATTCTACGCTCTTCTTTCCTTGGTGTTTCATCACAATACCAAATTTGCTCACAACAGGTATCGTGATAGAATACACTCAAACCATTTGGATAATTCATGACGATCTTGGAACATTCTTCGGGATTATTAAGTATACGAATGCTTATATTGTTGGGAGTTATTAAACGTATGTTATTGCTTAAGTTTAGGGGTAAATGACGAGGTCTATTGAAGTATATAGTGGTATTATTGAAGGCTAAAGTTATTTGTTTATTCATATCCTGGAAACACCATTTTTCCTCATACAGTTGCACGTAACCCTGTTGATAATAGTATTTGGAAATTTTATATTTTACTTCTTGTAAAGTATCTTCCAAATTGTAGCCTTTTAGCAAATGGTGATCTTGCGGCAAGCCCAGGGAATTTTCGCTTTTTATAGATGATTTAGCAAGCGAAGATTTTTTCCCACTTTTACTTCTATTGGAATGATCACTTTTTCTACTTTTAGTTTCTTCTTTAGTAATTTCTTTTGGTAATTTCAGAGCTTTCAGAGAATTAGGTCTTATGAAAAGATTTTCATCAAATTCCAAAGTTTTAACTTTTTTTTCTGGAAGACCTGTATCCGAAGAAAGTTCGGGTTTTAGGGTGGGGGTGTTTAAATTTTGCAAAAACTCTTCCATTTGAAATAAGGTAAAATCCCGAAAACATAAACGTGTGGGTATTATTACACGGTCTTCAACTTCATTTAAGACATTATACGATCTTTTAAAAGTATAGAGTTTATAGCCAGGAGCAATTTCTTGAATTTGATAATCATTATATTGTTTAATTAATTCTGTTATGCGTTGTTGGCTGCAATCGTAATTAGCATAATATTTTACATAATTGGGTAGAGTTATGGGTTCAAAACTTTCTTCATTATTATTAAAAGGTTTTGGGGTCTTGAACACTGAATATGGTTTAAGCATATTATAATCTAAACAGCTTAAATATAAGGAATCATATTTATTAGGTAGAACATATTGCAGCATATTTAATAAAAATGTATTATTATCGGCCATAATCAATCGTTCAAATTTGGGAATCTTAATAATGGATGAAAAGTTGGAACTAGTTTCTTCAGTTTCAGGGCAAGCGCAGGTGTTTAACAAACTATTTAAATAACCAGCTATTGTAGACAAATCCGTGCCACTTATAGTTAAACTGGAATTTTGAAAATGTCCCTTTATACTCAAGGACTCAGCCTTGTAATATAACTCTGTTAGATTAACATTAGCGGGAATACCTACATCTAGTAATTGAAAGGGCTTATAATAATACAATTCATATTGTTGCCTTAACATATCTATATCATAAATACTCCAGGTTAATTGATCATAGATTTCTCGACAATATTTGGTAGCCAAACAATTAGATATAACCGGCAATTCATGGTTAAATAAACCCACTGGCTTGAGACTTCTTTCTTGTCTCATTTGATAAATTGAAAAATTAATAGTAGCCAAAGTTGCCACAATAAAATTTCTTAATTTATTATTACCCAACATGATGTCATAGTTGCTTTCAGTTGGTATAAAGTTTATAATACCCTCAAGTGGTTGATCTCGCCTGAAAAGGGAAATGGTATTGTAAATGTAAAAGGATTATTAAATTTTTGTTTTATAAACATTTCTTATTTATTTACTGGTATTTTGTCTATAAAAAGAAAACATAAAGTAGTTTTGAAATCTTATGTATTTGTACTCTACGAGCGCCGATAGAGGGTGGAAAGAGGGAGTGTTTAACCTCTTATCAGGTCTGTTTGTTTTAGTTAAACATTTGTATATTATTGATTGCTAGAATATTTATTTTCAAATTATGTAAATATTGAATAATTGCTTTATTTGCCTCCTGCCTCTGCTTTTGTAAATTTCGTATTATTTTTGAATTTCTTGTTTTTAAATTGCACATAAATTTCGTATAAGTAATAGTTTATTTTTGAAATAATGCATACATGATGCATGTCTGCATGGCCAAAGATAAAGTTTTCCTTTTATATACCCTACTTAAGATGGAAAAGTGTTTTAAGGACTTTATATGTTTCACTACAGTTTTCCATAAACATTTACCTTTTATTGTCTTGTATGACATTTTTCTTCAATTCTTTAGTTTATAGGAAATGTTCGTTAAAATCTCCTGTTTTTGGAAATCATAGATAAATTTTCTTGTTTTTATAGAACTTTCGATCATTTCTTGTCTTTATAGAAAACTAGTTTACCCAGTGTGCCTCGCTACACCATTCCCATCTACATTTTTTAGCTGTTTTACTTATATTCCCAGATTTATTACACTAATGTTCACATAGATGTCAAAATTTTTCTTGCAAATTTTGAGGATTCTAACTCTAATAGTTTCCCTATTGCTAATTCGCCAATTTACACAAAATTTGAGAACTTAAACTTATATATTTTCTCAGAAATACTATACAATATTTTCTCTATATATGAAATGCCACGCCTACTGTACCCACTCTGCCCATTTTGTCCACAAGAGTTCATATGGATGTCAAAATTGTCCATACAAAATTATAGGACTCTAGCTGTAGCACTTTCTAAAATACTTACTACTTTTAATACTTACTATGTATGTGGGTGTGGCACTTTGCCTACTTGAAATATCAAAAAAAAGTATCCTATAGTTCCTTCCAGAAATATACAAAAACACTGAAAATTTCAAGAAAATCTAAATCTAAAAATTCTGACAGAAAATTATCCGTTGATTCTTAAAAAAATTCTGAATCCTCCAAATTTTTTACCAATACCCTCTATTAAAAAATATGTTCGAATAAATTCACTTGTATATAGATCACTTTCGATCAATGTTTTTAGAAAATCGATCATGTTTAAAACAAAATTTTTATCAAATTCATATTCAAAGAAAATCAAATTTCATGTTCAAAAAAAAAAAAAAAAAAAAAAAAAAAAAAATATTGATCAATAGAAACATTTTGATCAGTACTCTCGTTTATGGAAAATTTTCTACTTTTGTTGTGAGAACCCAATTTTAACCAAACGAAAGTTTAGAGTGTATCTATGTTTTTATGGTTATATTTAAAAGTTGGGGTTTTAAGTGGAATCGTTTTACAAGTAAAAACTTTTCTCTAAGTAGGGAATTATATTGTCTACAATTTGACGCCAACTTACAATACTTCGTCCCATACCTCTTCGTCTTTCAATTACAACATACAAGAAATCTTTCTTGGGAATTAGTTACAACAAAATAATAAGAAAAGCACAATAGTATACAGACTCCTGTCATACCATTAACTTTTAAATGCATTTTTGAACAACCCAAGTTGGTTTTTCTTTTCTTTCCTTTTTTTGTATAGAAAAGTTCTTTTGAAAATAAACACTTGTTAGTTTGTTTAAACTTTTTGCAGTATGAAAACTTACATACTTACAACTGTTGGATTGCATAAAGTTATGGCTTGGAAAGGTTTTTGCATAAGTTGGTAAGTGTCATGTCAAGTTAAGACTCCGGTATTTAAATAGCAATTTATTGTTCAAGAGATGCAAGTAAACAGAAGGAAGGAAGTATAAGACGAAAACTAAAGAAACTTTTTCACAATAAAGCTCTTTAGAAAACACTTAAGGTATAAAATTACAGATTTATTTAAAAAAAAAGTACATTTACCTTAATAAATCCTTAAAGAATTCTTCACACATTTGGCCCAAAATAATTATGTACAATTTGCCCAAGGTGGGTTCATCTTTAATGTACTAAAAAGAAAAAAAAATCCTCTAAGAGAAATAAAAAAAAAATAGCATTTGAAGATTTAGAAAACAAACCTTTCTTTTAGATATTAGTTTAGGCTGACCCACACGATTGTGTTCTTGGGGTATTAGTGTATAGGAACAGGAAATTGTTTCTTCCGATTTCAATTGTTTTGGTTTATTGTTTTCCTTTAGTTTAGGTTCCAAAGAAATTTTATTGTTTTCTTCCAAGTGCTTTAGCCAATATTCATATAAATTAAATTTTAATTCTTCATTGATTTTCTTTATAAGTAATTCATATTCCTTACGAAATCCTTGTATTTGTTGTATGAGATTATTTACTAAATAATTATTGAAATTTTCTTTCAATTCTTTTCTCATTTTGCTATTACGTGGCTGATTATTAAGGTCTTTCTGTAACTCTTCTAAGTCCACAATAAAAAGGGTTTGTCTTAAACCTGTTAAAGCTTGTCGTTTAAATTCTTCTTTGATGGCATTTAAGCCTGAACCATGGATATTAACACAATATAGGCCATAACTGGTTTTATCACGTAAACGCTGGAAAATTAAGTTTTAAGTTAAGCAGAATATATAGAAGGCCCTTTAAGCAAAATACCTCCGAAGTTAGTCTTTTGCCGCTCATGTTAGTTTCTTTTGTGAAATAGTTCTTGTTTTCTCAAAAATTCTTTCTACAAAAAATATATTAATAATATTTGAAAACTACAATTTGTCAATAAATGAAATTTATCGATATTTTTTTTTACACAAAAAGGCAAATTTAAAGGAAATACATTAAACTTTTCCTTAATATTATAATTTTCTTTCAAATATCTATATTTCTCTTCAAGTATGTGTACCTAAGTACTTTCTTTTAGATTAAAACCCATTAACTTTAAATATTTTCTTCTATTTTTCAAGACATTAACAAATGACTGTACAATTTATTTTCAAACAATAAAATCATTTTTCTATATCCTTTAGACAAACGTCTATACAGACAGACTATAGAACGTTTGTCGAAAACTGTTGCTGATTACCCAATAATTTTTCATTATATCAAACAATAGACCTTCACATATTTATTTTGTTATTCTACGTATTCATATGTAAATTTCCCCACATTTTAGCTTACATAATGGTGTCTTGTGTGTATGCGTGTGTCTTTTTTTCTGCACATTCAAAAGATACAATATTGTCATACATCCTTTAATGTGACACTATATAAAAAAAGAAGTGGTATAGAGTCCTTTGTTGCTTGGTTTGGTGTTGTTGTTGATATCATTGTGTCTATGATGTAAGTAAACATGCAACTAATGTGTTTCAATTTTTAAAATAATATAAACATTCTCGCAGATACGCATACATACATACAACCAATCTAACTCTATAACAGTTATCATTGTTTAGTTAATGTAACTGTAATTTTTTATAGAACTTAGTATACACCCAGCAAACAAAGTGGAAAGAAAATATTTCTTTAATAAAACTTTTACACTATTACATCTTAATTTTCTCTCTATCAAAGCTTTAGGTAAACTTTTTTGAATTTACAATTTATCTTCACTATTTCTAGTAAAAGCTCCCTCTATAAAAACCCTGATTTACTTTTTCCATCCCACCCAGCAAACACAGTAAAGTGATAAGGCTCTTATAAAAGTTTTACACTATTGTATTTTAATGTTCCCTTAATGAAAGCTTTGGATAAACTTTCTAGATCTACAATTTATTTTCACTGTTTATACCGAAAACAAAATCTGTAAAATCCAGAAAAGCTTTTTCCATTATCTCAACTATATCCACCCAGCAAACATAGTAAAGTAAAAAAGTCTCTCTTATAAAAGCCATACATGTTCCCTGGATCAAAGCTTAAGATAAACTATGGGCCTTTAATTTATCTTAACTATTTATAGCAAAAGCTCCGTTTATAAAAACCCAAAATAACTTTTTCCATTATCCCAACTATATCCATCCAGAAACACTGTAAAAGCTTTATACTGTAACACTTTAATGTTCCCTCAATAAAAGCTTTAGATAAACTTTTTGGATCTACAATTTATTTTTACTGTTTATACCAAAAGCTCCATCTATAAAACCCAGACTATTTATAGCAAAAGCTCCCTATATAAAAACCCAGAATAATTTTTTTCCATTATCCCAACTATATCCACCCAGCAAACACAGTAAAGTGAAAAAGTATCTCCTATAAAAGCTTTATACTGTTACACTGTAATGTTCCCTCAATAAAAGCTTTAGATAAACTTTTTGGATCTACAATTTATTTTTACTGTTTATACCAAAAGCTCCATCTATAAAACCCAGACTATTTATAGCAAAAGCTCCCTATATAAAAACCCAGAATAATTTTTTTCCATTATCCCAACTATATCCACCCAGCAAACACAGTAAAGTGAAAAAGTATCTCCTATAAAAGCTTTATACTGTTACACTGCAATGTTCCCTCAATAAAAGCTTTAGATAAACTTTTTGGATATACAATTTATTTTCACTGTTTATACCAAAAGCTCCATCTATAAAACCCAGACTATTTATAGCAAAAGCTCCCTATATAAAAACCCAGAATAATTTTTTTTCATTATCCCAACTATATCCACCCAGCAAAAACAGTAAAGTGAAAAAGTTTCTCTTATAAAAGCTTTATACTGTTACACTGTAATGTTCTCTCAATAAAAGCTTTAGATAAACTTTTTGGATCTACAATTTATTTTTACTGTTTACACCAAATCTATTATCCCTAATATATCCACCCAACAAACACTGTTGCACATTAATTTTCTTCACTCAATCACAACTATATATAAACTGACAGGATCTTATCAACTTATCCGCAATAACAGAAAGTATCCCAGAAAGACTTTTGCCATTATCCTGTTGCTAGAAGATCTCGATCGGTTTACTTTTGATCTTTATAGCTACTAATAATGCTATCAGCAGAATGAGAGCTTTTTTGATGATTCTGTTCTCAGAAAGTTCTGATTCTATTTACACAAAAGTTTTCAGAAATAATTCTATTAGAAAGACTAAATGGTTCGCGTTATTGCTATGATGCTACCAAAATCTGTTAGCGAAATGTGTGCTGGGTTGGCTTGTGTACTGTTCACACATATGAATGAATGGTTGGTTAGTTGTCTGTACATTCAAGAAAGGATTCCAATTGTGTATATTTTTTCTTGTTTGCTGATTTTTTTTATGCATATCAAATTGTTTTTAAAGTAAAATTATTAATGTTTAACTATTAAAATGATAAATTGTATATAATTTACATATTTACATATGAGTAATTTACATTTATATGTGTGTGAAAATTCATATGTGTATATTTCTGTATGTGTAAAGTGGTTGTTGTTTCAATTCAATTTTCTAAAAATTTAATAGTAAATATTGCCATCTAGAGAAAAAGCATAACGAGTGGTCATTAGTTTTGGCAGAAATTATAAATACCATGGTGGTTGTTTATGATTATATATCTGAAGCCACATATAATTATTTTTAGAAATAAATAAATCATTTTAAAAACTTTTCTATTTATGTTTTATATATAAATCAGTAGAATTTTTGTCTTTTATATTTATTTAACACTTTAATCCTTTTTGTTATACATAAAACCATAATTGTTTATAGAATTGACCCCTTAGTTTTTCTTATAAATATTAAAGGAAATTACCCTGAAATTGTGTTGGATTTTAAGATTTATGGAGTGCAAACTTATATGTTAAAGGAAGTCAAGAAGAGGAAATTTTTTTGTGTGTTTCTTCTTAAATAAATAATTAATTATATAGATTTTGTTTATAGACAAACAGGCGCTGTCTTAAATAATTACTAGAATATGTACATATGTAGTAGTGTGTTGGGACATCATAGAAATGACCTACAAATGTGGATTAGTTATAAGAAAATCGATGAGTGTGTTTTGTTGTTTTTAACTTCCTGTTGTTGGTTATATCCGTTGAAAGTTCGAAAAACTGATTATGATCTTTTGGACAGCTGAATGTAAAAAGATATATTTGCAAAATGATTAATTAGTGTTGAAAGAGACAAATCTAGTACTGGCCAATATTTTGCGTTTCATTAAAAAAAATTCTTGTATATTTTATTTATTAAGTCTTGAATTGTCTGTCTATTCTATTAGATATTCTCTGACTAGTCTATTGAATATTTTATTAACTAGTCTAATGACTTGTCTATGAGCTAATCTAGTTTACTGACTAATTAAGGAACTGGTCTAAGGAATAGTCCATTGACTAGTCGAACGTCAATGTACTAGTTCATTAACTAGCCTAGAGACTAGCCTATTAATTAGCCTAGAAAATAGTCCATTGACTACTATATTGATAAGTCTAGGGTATAGCATATTGACTATTCTAGGGACCAGCCTATTGACTAGTCTTGGAACTAATCTATTATCTAATCTAGGGACCAGTCTAGGGAATAATATATTCACAAGTTAAGGGATTAGTCTATTGAAAATTCTAGATACTATTATATTGAAAAGTCTAGATACTGGTCTATAGACTTAACTATCGTTTAGACTATTAATAAGTCTATTGGTAAAACTATTGATTAATCTGTTAACTAATCTAGGGCTAGCCTTGGGACTAATATATTATCTGATCTAGGGACCAGTCTAGGAAATAATATATTGACAAGTTAAGGGACTAGTCTATTGAAAATTCTAGATACTAGGGCTAGCCTTGGGACTAATCTATTACCTAATCTAGGGACCAGTCTAGGGAATAATATATTGACTAGTTAAGGGACTAGTCTATGGAAAACTCTAGATACTATTATATTGAAAAGTCTAGATACTGGTCTTTAGACTTAACTATCGTTTACTATATTAACAAGGCTATTGATTAATCTGTTAACTAGTCTAAAGCTAGTCTTGGGACTAATCTATTATCCAATCTAGGAACCAGTCTAGAGAATAATATATTGTAAAGTTAAGGAACTAGTCTATTGAAAATTCTAGATACTATTATATTGAAAAGTCTAGATATTGGTCTATAGACATAACTATCGTTTAGTCCATTAACAAGTCTATTGATTAATCTGTTAACAAGTCTAAAGCTAGTCTTGGGACTAATCTTTTATCTAATCTAGGGACCAGTCTAGGGAATAATGTCTAGTTTAGGGACAAGTCTATTGAAAACGCTAGACATGTACTATTATATTGAAAATTCTAGATACTGGTCTATAGACTTAACTTTACTCTATTAACAAGTCTATTGATTAATTTGTTAACTAGTCTAGGGCTTAATATACTGACTGGACTAGTCTAGGGATTCATCTATGCAGTAGTATGGGAAATAGTCTGCTGACTAGTCTAGGGACTGGTCTACTAAGTATTTTAAGGACTAGTCTTTTGGCTGGTCTTAAGAATAATCTTTTGTGTAGGGTTTAGTCTATTGGCTAGTTCAGGGATTAGCTACAAATTTATAATTTGGATCAATTTTGCCTGGTTTTTTGGTTTAAAATCAAAGTACACTTTCTAAAGAACATCATATACCATCCATATAAATAGATATCTTTAACATTTTTTTCTGTTCTATTTTTATAACCTCAACAATCTTTCGCTCTTAGACATTTGATTAATGATAATATAACCAAGAATTTTAATTAGTTTGTATATCATTTGTAAGAAATCTATGGTATTTTCATCCTCCCCCCTCCCCCACA